ATAGCATCATCGTGACATAGAAAATGTTAGAGCAAGAGCATGCTCTGAGCAGTCGAGACAATTAGCGTCGAAGGCACTTTGTTTGTGGTGGTCATGACAGACAATTGTGAACTGGAACTGGAACTCGGCCAGCACCAGCCCATTCCCCGGCCCGTAAGTTATCTTTGGGGGAAAATACGGTCACGTGCCCGGCATGTCCAACGGCCGGTGGGCAACAACCGGGGATTCATCTCTTATGGCACTGCAGCCTTCCTATTATCTTATGAGGCGAAATACGACGGGGTGTCTGAATTCATGGTCGAACTATTTACTCATGTCAGCTGAATGATATATTACTCCAAGCTAGCAGTACCTATGCTGTACATAGTTGGAATCTGATTGCGACTCAAAATCGGACCCCCCAAGCTGGTTCGACTCGGAGCAAGATGGGATTGCTACGGACCATAGCGCTGGCCATCCTTGGAATTTCAGGCTTTGTATTTGTCGCCCTGTTTGGGAGACTACCTGCATTTCGGTAAGCTGTGTATTGGTCCTCGAATGCAGTGAACTGCGACTGATGCATGCTTGTAGCAAAACTCCAATTGGGTTCCTTCACAGAGTTCTTTGGATACATATCCCTAGAGGATTCGCAAAAGTCGATGAAATACTGTTCAGCGGCCGGCTTTTCTCTTGCTGCAGCCAGGCTGGCAACTATGTTCTCAATGAGAATCATCCGCTTGTTCTGGTTCGTCTCATGAATCAGAAGTCAAGCTCGCCTCCCTGCTGACTGAACTTAGATATTCTTTGCCTCACTTCTGGTAGCAGGCCAATGCATGTTCATTCCAGCCGCTTGGGCCAGAATCTCTCCGGCCCACCATGTATGGATACCGCTCGCTGTAGCCCTTCCTTACTACTTCTTATATGCGAGCATAACCACTAAGTCTTTCATTACCCCCAAAAATCACGCTGAGGAGTTGGAACGCTATCCGTACGATAGGGTCATCTTCCATCCAGGACACCGCTGCAGCACATGCCGGTTCCTCAAGCCGGCGAGAAGCAAGCACTGCAGCACTTGCAAAGCATGTGTTTCCCGACACGACCATCATTGTGTATGGTTGATGAACTGCGTTGGGTTGCACAACTATCACTACTTCCTGTCGCTGATAGTATCGTTATGCGTCATGCTGACTTATGGCTCGTGCCTCGGATACACTCTGCTGTACCAGACCTACGACAAACTGGTTCCTGCTGACAACCCTTTGCGACACACGCGACAGAGCTGGACGACCTTCTTCAACATCTGGGCCGTGGTGATCGCTGCTGATGTTCGCATTGGCGCCACAACCCTGTTGATGACGATGACAGCCCCTTTGGCGGGGGCCTTTCTCGTATACCATACCTATCTGATTTGGGCCGGTATGACCACCAATGAAAGCTCCAAGTGGTCGGATTGGAAGGAGGACGTTGCCGACGGCTATGTATATAGATCGACCAAGGACGTGATATATGGCAATTCGCCCTTGCTCGCAGAGTACCAGGGGTCACCCACAGACTGGCCCATGAGCAGCGAGCAGGTCCTTGCACTCACGGATGGGGAGGCTCCAAAGGAAGGACACCTGTTATCTCCAGATTCGAACGAAATATCGCAGCCCAGCGACCGAAATGCTCCTATCGACCCGCGGTGGAGTTTGGTACATAGTATGCGGGAGGTTGAGAATATCTATGACCTGGGGTTCTGGAACAACTTGCGCCATGTTTTCGGGCTCTCCATTCGAGCCAAGATGTCATGAAAAGGTATGGGCTCTGTATGGTATACTACATTATTTAGTAGTGATGTGAATTGTACATGAATCTTCCCGAATAGGCAGTCAATCAGCGGCGGCGGGATGGTTCCGGAGCCGGAAAAATTCCCCTCAGCGGGTGTTATTCTACGAGTTGGAATTATTCCAAAGTTCTTTCCTTCTCCGCCCGCACTTAGTTGGACTTCTTCTTCCCCGCAACAATCAATTCGCAAAGGCCAGCTGCTCAAAACCAAACGGTATCCTTAACTTCGCGCCCAAGATGGCTGACCGGGCAGCAGCGGAGAACAAGCCCAAGTGCACTCCTGCAGAGCTTATGCTCAAGGTTATTCTGACGGGGACCTTGAGCCACTATGAGACCCGGGGTATGATTGATGACAAACGTCTTGAACACATGCTCTCTGCGGGCAAGCAGATTCTTTACAAGACACACCAAGAAAGCGATGTCAGGTGTGTTTCTGAAGCATTTCCCCTACTATTCCTTCAAGCCCATTTCGTGTTCTGCAGCCCCACGCTTGCACTGTTCCCCGCACAAAGACCGTGTTGTTGACCGGTCGACTGATTGAGCTCCCCTGGATAGACATAATCTCGGCCTGTCACCGGATATCTGGCAAGGCTTCACAGATGTTTTGACCAAGGCGATCCCCGTTCTCGAGTCCCAGTCGTTCGCTTGGAAAAGCCCTCCGACCGCCAACTACGACCACTCTTCCTCCAATCTCATAGCCTACAACTACTTCTCACTTGTCAAGGATATCGAGCGCCTGAATGACTTGTGTACCATCGCCCGCAATCTCCTCGCCACCACGAAGAAGGCCCAAAATATGGCGGCGGAGAAAGGCTTTGATCAGAGGATTCTAGCCCTGGTGGACACCTGTGTTAGAGTCACCGCGCGGGGATTTGATGGCGAAACGAACGCACGGAACGAGGAGCGCTGGCAGAAAGTTGTCAACCTCTACAAGCGCCTCCTGATTACGTGTCTGCAGTTCATGCACAATTTCATCATGCACAACGAGCAGCGGAAGATGGTTTTGTGGCTGGACCTCTTCGGATACCATTCCACGGGAGATTCGAACATCATTCAGCCCCGGGAGCCGCTTGATCCGGCCTTTGCTCAGCCTGAAGGAATGGCGCCGATTGTCAAAACCGGAGAGCGGATAGTCAACCCCCCCATCCGGGCTCTCTACGATCAGACTGCGGAGGACTTGCTTCTGGAGACGATCTCCAATTTCCCCCGGGAACCCGCGACGATCAAAGAGGAGGCGGCCATGTTGCTTCTGGCAAACATCAAGGACCACATGGAGAAGCTGCTCGGGCGTGATCTGACCGCCATACAGGAGATGGGCAAAGATCCGGAGCAGGTCAAGGAAATTCGCGCAGCTTTGACTGCTATTCTCGGAGCCAAGGTAGATGGGTGGTCTGATCTCCAGGATAGAGCCAAGGACCTTCCGCCAGCCCTGCCAGAAGATGAGCCTCCTCGCAAGAAGGCGATTGTGACGATAGATCGGAGCCTAACAGCTGGTTTCCCACGCGTTTGTTGGACCGATCTCCCCGACCTTAGCGAATACGGGGCGCTTTCGGCTGGTGATGCAGTTGTCATGGAGGAAGATATGAGTATGCCCCGGTCTGCTCAGTCTGCGGCCGAAACTCTACAGGAAGCGAAGGACGAGTTGATGGCGCGACTGCAAGAGAGCTCCCAGATCGGTGGTGATGGAGATCAGGACTACGATACTGGGGATGCGGGCACAGTTGGTGATGATGACTCGCGCAGCCTGGAGGCTGTTGCAGACGGAAGCATGGAGGAGGAGGAGGAGGAAGAGGAGGAAGAGGAGGATGACGATGAAGATGACGACGATTACCGCGGCCGTCCAGGAGACCAACAACGCGGCCTGTTGACGGATATACCGCTTGTGCTTGGACCCGCAGAGATCGAAGCGCTTCCGATGATCATCCAAGCCGGTATTGTTGACAGTTTCGGCTTGAAGGGCGGAGAAAGGACGGGGTCGCGGAATATGCAGGCTCTGCGATGCCACATCCTACTCACGCAGGAGACTGGTCGCAACCTGTTGAGAGAGTTGTTGATCTTCATTGCTGCCTGGGATCTTCCTGATGACGAGCTCTACTTCAAGATGATGGTTCAGATCATGGATGCGGTTCTCAAGAACGGTCTTATGTCGCACGCATACTCTGATTTCGGCCAGCCCAAGGACATCATTTCTCCTGCGCAGGCAGTCGTGGTCAAGATTCTTACACACATCTTCCGAGCTAAGTATTCTCCAGCATCAGTCACCGGTACTTCTCAACATACCGCAACCAAGAGCCCGGCCCCTCTGTCCCGAGTCGACATCCTTACCGTTCGATACATTTTCACCATTTTCCGGGGCAACATTATCCCTGAGACTTGCGCTTTGATCTACTTGCAGGGACAGATTCGCGCCGGAAGGGCTCTACCGGAGGACTTCCCGCTGAACTTGTGGGATATGGAGCGGGTCTACGAAGGTGTCTACCAGTTCTTGGAGTTCTTCGCTGTGCTGACCGAGAACAACGACTGGAAAAACCTGCTTGTCAAGTGGGAGATCGTCTATGACTTGGTGACGTTGATCAAGGAGCTTGAGGCCAGCATCCCCAAGGGCCAGCTGAGTTCTCTTACTCTGGGAGGACGCAACAGCCCTTCCCGGGACCACCAATCTGGCTCGGGTTCCGGGCCGGTAGCAGTCGAGAGACCATATGACCCCGGTGACCCCGACCCCGTTGATGCTGGGCCGGGATCGAGAGCAGAGTCGCCGCCCATCACGGAGGACCCGTCGGAGTTTGAGTGGCGCAATCTGAAGAAGCTGGTGGTGCTTGTTCTCTCGTCTTTGGTGTGGAAGTGTCCCGAGGTCCAGGACCAAATCCGGCGCTATGGCGGTGTGGAAACCATCCTGTCCTGCACCAACTTTGATGCTCACAACCCCTACATCAAGGAGCATGCCGTGATGTGTCTGAAGTTCTTGTTGGAAGGTAACCGCGAGAATCAGAAGATGGTCGAGGAGTTGGAAGCGCGCGAGGTGGTCAAGGATGATAACGGGGTCCTGGAGAGGAGTGGCCTGGAGGCTATCATCGACAAAGCGGGCAAGTTGGCTCTTCGACCCAAAGAGGAGCTTTGATTTAGGATTACAGCTTAGCTACGCTATTCTTCCTGACATGATAGACTTAGAAACAAAAATAGTAGTTCATGAATGAAACGTCTCTATGCAAGCTCAACAGCAAGCCTCGCGGTTCCAAAGCATAGTTCCGCAACACCATGCCCTATTATTCAGCACCTATCTGTAAGTTAAACCTAACCATACATGCCATCCCACTCCTCCTCCTCATCATCCATCGCCGGCTTCCGCCTGGCCTCCGCCTTGTCCCTCTCCTGCTTGGCGAAATCCGTGCGATCCAGCGGACACGTTCCCCGCAACCTCAACCACGGCCGCACGCACTCCAAATCAAACAGATGCGTCGGATGACACGGCAACCGCACGACAAGGGGGTACTGATCCTCCAAGAACGGGTTATTGCAAATCGGACAGACCTGCGACGAGTTCAAGGATGTCTTGGGCACGCGATCGAGCACTACACGAGAAACCATACATTATTAGCCAAAACAGAACCCATTTCGGCTCGTATTCCCCCGGACACGAAATCCTCCCGCTAACCACCCTTTTCACCCCACCTCCCCCCGGCAAGAGAATGAAAACCGGAATACATACCATCGCAAAACTCCTCACTCACCCCCTCCACCTCCTTGGGCGGCCGCTCCGCCGACTGCAACAACGACGCAATCATCTCCGTCAGCAGCTCGCTGCCCCCGCTGACGTCGGTATCCGTATCCTCCGGCCCGAAGCTGGGGATCCCACCTGCCGCCGCCGCGGCGATGGCTCCGCCCCCGCCCCCGTCGCGGCGCATCACGTTCAACGCTTCGGCGAGCGTGTAGAAGGCTGCGCTGATGTCGCGCGGGACGGGCACGGCGTGCGGCCGGTGGGTGCTGTGCGATTCATCCAGGGTGATTTCGGAGAGGGTGGCGAAGAAGCTGGAGAGGTCGGGGCGGCGCGGGTGCGTTGTGGTTGTTGTGGTTGTTGTTGTTGTTCCTGTGGTGGTGGTGGTTGAGGAGGGGTCGGTGGTGTTGTGTTCCACTTTTGGGGAGGGTTAGTTTGACTTGAACTGGGGGGGTTGATTGGGTTTGGGTTTGAGGGGGATAAGGGGGGGGGAGGAGGATGGTACCTTCGTAGGTGGACATGGTGGAAGCTGTGGGAGCTCGGGGAGCTCGAGGGGCTGTGGTGAGGGGTTTGTGTTGCGGTGCGATGGGTTTAGGATGGATGAATGGTTGATTGGAGTGGGGAATATAGATTGGAAGAATTTTCGTGGGGGAGAATGGTGGTAGAGACTGCGGTGACGTTGGCGTCTGAACGCTTCTGCGGCAGGTTGTTGAGGTTGAGAGAAAAGAGCTCGATAAGGTACGCTACTTAAATGGCGGCGGCGGAGATGAGATGCGGAGGCAGCAGCCGATAACGCGTTGCCGCTCGGCGGCGGAGATTCCGATCGGGCGGAATCTCGGTCTTTACTGGCTACTAGGTGCTTTACAAACTATGAACTGCCAAGATTTCCGATGTAGAGCATGAGAAGGGTAAATAGATGCAATCCTTAAATATATAAGTAAACTAATCGTATGATCGCGTTAGTAGTTAAAGTCCTCATATACTACGTTCTTACCAGTGAGCCATTTCAAAACCGAGCTTTTCAAAGCCGGACTGCCGCAGAAATACCATGTCTCGGCCAAGGACAGATCCAAATCATCTGTGTCTATCCTGCGTCGTAAAGTCTGTGCTCCAGAGGAGACGACAACCTCATACTGCCGCTTGATAAGTTCGTCCCCCGGGTCAGACCCGGTGAGAAACAAAGACGTCGATCTGGGCAGCGCCGGAAACCGCTTGAACGTATCCCACACCAAACCCACGTCGCTGATTGATATAGACCACAATAGTCGTAGCCGACCAAGATCAAGACCGGGGAGCTGGGCAAGCACAGGCGTTATCCCAATGCCACCTGCTATAAAAGGCAGGATCTCATTTCCCGCTGAGTTTATCTGGAATTCTCCCCCGACCCCTTTGAGAGGGACCTCAAGGCCGGCTCGTTCATTGACTCCCCAAAGATAGCGAGTCACATTACCGTGCTTCCTAGCTGTTATTTCAAACTCTGATGTAGAGATTCCCTCGCCTGGATAAGATGAGATAGTGAACGTCCTGACATAATCGTCATTGAGGCTGGTCGGGTCATCGTCTCGCATGTGGCTGTAGCCGAGATTCAGCTCATCCCAGAACGAGAATGTCGCGTACTGCCCTGGAATCCACTTTCCAAGTTTGACTGGATCGGAGATGCGGAATCGGAAACGAGCAATGGCTGGAGTAAGAATCTCTTTCCGGATAAGAGTTGCTGTGATAGAGCTATCTTCCTTGAGATCGGCCGCACTGACCTTTTCTGTCGCCAGATATCGCACCGGAGGATTGTATGGAGACGGCTCCCCGACGATACCGCGGAAGGAGAGGGACTTTTCCACATATCGCGCAGCTGTGACGGTGACCACGACTGCCAGATTTGACCGCGGAAGCACCCGTGCTGCATCTTGGCCTACCAGAATCCGCGCTTCCCCGGTCACGTATAACGCATTTCCCGTGTCAAAGTCCGGGAAGACGTATCCTGATCGAGGATTGGTCTGGAGATTGCCTAGAGTCTGGTATAGTCGATTACCTGAGTATTCTGGATAAGCAAATACAGCCCCACGTGGCCCATTAGACACCAGTCGCACAAATCCAGGAGGACCTCCACGGATGTTTGTGTCCATGTCAATTGTACCATGAGCCGAAGAGACAAACAGGCAGTCAGCACGATTGAGAAGGTCTACAGCCGCCGGGGTCAGTTGAGGCGAGCTTGACACCAGCTTCGGATTTGGAAGGGCAGGAATGATCTGCTTCTTATTCATATACTTTGGACAGTTTCCTGATTCGTCAGCTGTGCCGCATGCCTGATGCTATGGAATAATATCTACTCACCGAGACTTGCATCAATGTGCAACGTCAGGTGGGCGAATCCCACCTGGTCTGAGCCTGACACTGCGCTGGGACTTTCCAACGACCCCGCAATCGACCTGCCGTGAAGCTTCACTCTCTTCCGATTTTCCAGATCGAAGACTAATCCAGACATCAGTTTTCCGCCGCGTGTGGAATCCGCTAAGTCGCCTTCCGGTGGTCCCAGCAGTATTTCAGCGACGGGATCATGTCTCCTATCGACAGGTGTGGTCAGTTCGACCGTGGTTTGCGAAGAAGGTCTAGCGAATCCTTTCTCGCCGCCCCAGATGCTTGTCCAGAGGCGTCCTTCGGAATCAATAGTCCCAATAGCCAAAAGTGGAGCGCGTGGCAGTAGATAGCCAGCATTATAGGTGAGGCTTGGAACTGTGGGGTTATCTCGTGGGGGAACGTGAAGCAAATTGTGCATTTTCTGCTCACCCTCATGCCAGGGCATGGAACCTGCAAGTATGGAGGTCATGATGGTTTAGTAGCTTGGGTGACTGATGTCGCACAGTCAACATATAAGTTAGCTAGGAGAAAAGAGGGCATCGATGCTGGTTGTGAGGGCACTGCTGGTTTTATGGGGAGTGTTATAGGTATGTGCGAAGGTTTAGGGAATTAATCAGCAACGATGGTGTCAGTCAGTAAGTATGGTGTAGTAAACATGCCGCGATAATACGAGCGAGAGAAAGAGAGCATCTAGAACTGGATGAAGTAAGCGAGACACGTGCCATGCCTAACTACTCCTCCTCCTCCTACTCCACAGGCCAAACGCGGCTGGGTTCGTCATCTCCTCCTCTTCCCGCTGCTTTCTTTAGCAACAGCCGTGGTTGTGGAGCCTGCCCAGGCAGTGTAAAAGTGATCGACCCAGCGAGGCGTTGCATTGTTGTGTTTCTTGCTCTCGCACTCGCACTTCCTGCCTTCCTGTTTCTTTTTATTTTCCCGCTTTGTTGAATTGTGATGACCTGAATTCAACTCTCTCCTCTTGCATGTTCAAGAGCATTTGTCTTTCTGCCATCCCCGCTGTCGTTCTCCCACAGTATTGTTGTCTGATCATCTGTTTACTGCTTATCGATCGGAATTCAACACTTACTGATAAACCACTCCCCACCGCGATTGGAAACATCCTCCGATAACCACCGCCCACTATGCGCACCGCAGCATCAGTCAAACCATCCCACTACCCAGCGATACCCTTCCACATTATCCGCGCAACGGGTCTCATTTCGACCTTTATCGTAGGCATCATTCTTGCTGTCTTCATCACCAACCTACACAGCCATGGCTACAAGCTTCCGTGGGCCTTCCTGGTCGTAAGTCCCTGCTTCTCCTTCCCCGGATTCACGCCCGATTCCAGCCAGACACACAGACACACAGACACACAGACACCGAATTAACTCGAAGATAAAACAGCTCCTAATCGCCACCGTCCTGACCCTTCTCAACTACATTCTCACGACACTGACCCACTGCTTCTATGGCCTCTCCCCACGCCTCTCCCTAACCACCAATTCCATCCTCCTAGTTCTCTGGCTCATCTCTCTCGGCCTCCTGAGCTACAGTCTCGCGCACACCATCCTGACCAGCTGCACGGCCACTTACTGGGGCACCTCAACCGGCATCAACGTGTGCCGCATCTACAAGGCGCTCTTCGCGTTCACCATCCTCGCGACCGCCGCCCACATCGCCGCCGTCGTCCTCGATGTGATCGTCCGCCGACGTCAGACCCGCCTGGGCGAATACGACCCCATGGCCAGCAACGCCGCCCTCAACGACTACAAGATGCACAACCGCGGGAGCAGCGTCATGTCCGGCGGCGTGGGCCCCTACCACCCGGACGACCTGTATGCCCAGCCGCATCCCGCGCAGCAGGGGCCCTACGGGTACCCCGCCGGCCAGGAGGCCTATCACGCTGCACCACCGCCCGACATGTCGGGTCAGTATATGTCCCCCCCGCCGTCGTATGGCGGGCTGGGAAACCACGCCGGCGCCGCAGCAGAGCACGACCACGCTCGCGAGGTGGAACAGTACGGCGACGCTGCGGCGGCGGGAGATCTCGGGGCGCAACACCCCCTGCCGCGGGTGCGGTTCAGCGCGTATGGAGCTTCGGCGTCCACCATGGGCTATACCCGTCCCGCGGAGCAGACGGGGTATGATGCCGGGGCGTATCGCTAGATGGCGATTGAAATTCGTTTCGTTTGCCTCCTGTGGCCTGACGAGCTTGTGTCCTTGGAAGTAGGCGCTCGCTAGAATTCGAAGCAGCCTCAGAATGCGAAGCGCTTCTGTAAGAGCTCTTACACTGTTATATTATGGATTTGACGCGTTACGATCTCGCACTGTACATGATCTATTATTCTTTGAATTGAACATTCCAAACCACTCAAATGGCCCGAGATTAGTCGTCGTGACTCACGGCGCCTGGTTAGCAGACATTGGTGCACGTGTCCATCTCATCGAGTACGCCGTAATGTCGCATCGGCGGTCGGTGAAGAGCTCGGTGGTCTTCGAGACCACCTCCCTACCACACTTGACCCAAATGAAATCAGCCATCAACCGGGCAGTAATGGAACATCTTCACTTACTGCGTTTCAGCCGGGATCGGACTCTGAGGCGACGATTCCTTCCAACCAGGTGCTATATGTCACGATGCATAATCTCGCCTCGGTCTGGTACATATTCCTGTCCAGGCAGGTTCTACCTAGACTCTGGAGGATGATTTGTATTGCAGGATATGGATAGGAAGTTTTTGTTGTGCAGACCGGCGTTTTCTAGGAACATTTTCCGGTGTTGATTTCAGCACATGTACTCACCACAGAAGACATCTATCTACATGTTGCCTTTTCTATTACTATTCAAACACGGACCCGCGATTTGGAACGATATTAAGTTATTAATCTGTAATTTTTTTGTGGCGGGCATACAATCCATACCCATGCCCCGTTCATTCTAAGCATGAACACTAGCTCTAAAAAATTTGCTGAAGCGAGATAAGAAGTCCGCAATCGAAGGCCAGGAAAGAGAAATCAATCGATCAATAAAGTGTAACCAAGAAGAGCATGGCAGCGATAGGAGAAGCATTAAAAAGCATCTGAGACAAAATCCGTTCACACGTTACGTTCCAGATTTTCAAGCGCAGGGCCGACTTTCTACATAATAACTTCGTTGGCGACGTCCTGTAGTGCTGAGTTAGCTTGCGCTCATATTTAGAAGACGAGAGGGAGGGAGAGATGGAGAGGAGGATACGTACGCGCTTCAGTTCCTTGTAAGGCAGACAGACACAGTTCTGGACGCGCACCTCATCGCCCACAGCGCACTCCTTGCCCAGGATGGTGATGCTCTGGACCTTGACGCCGTGCTTGATGATGCTGGTCGAGTGGCTGGCCATCGGGACAGGCGTACCCTCCACACGGGCCCAGGCGCCAACGCGACCGCTCCAGCCGATGATCGAGTGCAGCACGCAAGCGTCGTGCTTAATCTCGGCATCTTCCAGCACAATCGAGTCCTTGATACGAGCACCTGCGCCCACGACGACGCGAGGTCCGATGGAGACGTTGGGGCCGAGCTTGGCGGTGGGGTCGACGGTGGCAGAGGGGTGGATGTAAACGGGGGGCACGATGGAGGCGGAAGGTGGGGTGAGCTCTTCGGACTGAGCCTGGAAGGCCTTTTGGAGGTACAAAGCATTCGCGGGAACCGCGGACCCGGCGGTCTTGATCTGGCGCCAGAAGTCCTTGGTCTCGTGGACGAAGAAGCGGTTGCTGTCGGCCAGATCGGACAGGATGTCCTGTTCGAGACGGAGGACTTCGCTCTTCTCAGCGTCGTCCTCGGCCGCGACGAACGAGGATTCCAGGTTCTCGGACGAAGGGTATGAGAGCAGGCGGGGCCGGGTGGTGCGACGCTTGATGGCGCTGCGGATTGAGGGGAAGATGCATTCGGTGGCGAAGAGGTAGACACCGCAGTTGATGAGGTTGGAGATGTGAGACTCGGGTTTCTCGACGTAGTGCAGCACGCGCTTGGTGTGCGCATCGGACACGATGCAACCGAAGTTGGTGGCAGCATCGTTGTTGACCCGGGTTCCGAGAATGACGGCCTCCGCATCCTTCTCCTCGAACAGCTTGAGCATCTCCCCGAGCGGGAATGAGCAGCAGACATCGGCGTTCAGGACGAAGAAGCGCTCGGGCTTTCCCTTGAGAATGGCATCGCGGAAGTGGTAGAGACCACCGGCGGTACCCAGAGCCGTGTATTCGCGCAGGTATTGAATCTTAAATTGAGGGAACTCCTTGGCGGAGTCCTTGATAAAATCACGGAAGACCGTTTCGTCATAGTAACCGACCAGGATAACTTCGCGAATATCGGGGATCTTCGCAAGGGCTTTCAAGCAGTGATGAATAATAGGGTGTCCGGCGACTTCGAATAAGGGCTGTATGGTAGATCAAATGGTAAGCAACCGTGCGTAGGCGCCGGGGAGAGGGGGGGGGGTGCAATCCGCAAGCGGGAGGGAGGGGTTGGAGGGGAATAGTTTCAAGGACGGAGGAGGGGCAGCAACCGACCTTAGGCACATCGAGAGACAGAGGCCTGAACCGAGTTCCTCTGGACGGACCACCAACCTAAAATCGAGTAGCGAGGTCATTAGTGAGCTGTGTGAAAGGAGACAAATTTCCAATGCCGCCTACCAAGATCACGGCCTTGGTGGAGGCCACGTTGGAGTGCTCCCGAACAGGTACTTGAAGCATTGAAGCGACGAGGGGAGTTTAACACAACGAAAAAGGAGGCGGGGTAGTAAAAGAGGAAGAAGGACGAGGTCTGAGAAGCTGAAGCAGAAAGATTTAAGCAGCCAGCAGCTTTAGGAGAGACTCGAGAGGGGCGATGGAGACTAACTAACTGGTAGTTAGACAGTGAACTAGACTAGTCGAGGAGGAGGAGGACGACAAAGAAGGCCCACCGCCCGCCGGGCAGCTAGACTAGATACGATCTTCAGCTGGAGGCTGCCAGGTCGGGTGGTACCTTACCTAAGTTACCTTACCGTCTTAGCTCTGCGGAGGAAGAGGATCCATGGTTTGGAAAGGGGGAACTTCACCGCTTTCGGTCGACCCTGCCCCATGTGGGCCTATTCTACCTACTATTAGTAGAGCACTGCACTGCACTGCATTTCAAGCATAACTTACTACTAGTATATCAAAACACTGACTATGACATGTTCTGAATATGCTCTCTCTGTAGTACTAATAAGGCTAATAAGCCTAATCTTGGGAATTCAAATTAGATACTGTTGCAGAGACTTCGGGGATTCATCAGCATTAGTACGTGCTTGCCAAGGCTGATAGCCTGGCATTGGATGGAATTCCTAAGCTACAACACAAAAGGATTATCAAGCGTAACACTGGTCACCTTTTAGAGGTATTGTTAGAAGCAATCACTGAGTGTATCATGGATTGAATATATCACTGTCTCATTGCCCTTACAGGGCTAAATCACGATGATAAGACCCTATTCACACGATCCAAAATCATTCCCTGGCACACAAGATATTCATCACCTTGGTAATGAGCCCCTGGTCAAGACTGCTGTATAAGTAGTGGCTCCTCCCCCCTCCTCCTACCTTCCATCCACCATGTCTCTGCCTTCCAGTATCCACCATCATGTGAGGTTTTCTCTGAAAAGAATTTCGTCTCCAAACACATAGATTTTTATTCATCCATGCACCTTGAGCATTGCTGAAGCTTGTCTCTTTTCAAAAAAACTGCTTTCTAGAACAGTTATAAGTGCATAAGTTGAATTTGACTTTCTCATGTCTTTGACACCTGATTCTGGGACAGGGTCCCGAGTTCATGCTTATCCGTCTTCTACTTCCGAGCCTGACACCCTGATGACACAACTTCCAAAAATCTTTAAAACCCACGCCCCTCCCCTAACGCGCTCCTACTCACACTCATTTTTCTCATCACTCCTGCCTCGGAAACTCGATTTATCGTCCACCCATTTCAGTGCCCTTTGCTTTGCAGCTAACTTGCCGCCATCATGTTATCACCTCCGAACATGTCTACAATTACAACCTTAAAGGCTTCCCCGGCTGGGATGCGCATGATCATACCGAAGCCCACAGAGAAAAGCACGCGCCTCAACCAAGTTATAGCAGAAGTCGTTTTTTTCATCCAAACTAGTTTGTTCGAGGTGGACCAACTGATGCTCGACACCGGCCTTGACATCGAGGACTCGCCGAGGTTGATCCGAGTGCTAGATACCTATCGGGTTCGATACTTCTACTGCGGCAGCATTTTGGTGATCATGGGAGAATGCCCATTGAATTCTGTCATTGATACTCTCGTGTTGAACATTCTCGACCAGCGTTCAACGATCCTACCGCGTGAATTGTGTCGTTATCTGTCAAACCACCAACTGAGTATTCACTGCAACGGAGTCATCAAAGGAAAAGGAATCAAGCGGCAGCTGCGAAACAAAATACCTGATAACATAATCACCTTCCGTCATCCTGGTAATCATACGATCTATAATCCAATCGTGCTGGAAGTCGGATTTTCAGAATCGCGAGAAGATCTTCACCGAGATATGCTCCAATACTTCGAGCATTATCAGCCTGCGCAACTGGCTATTCTGGTCAAGATCGAAGAAGATCTGAATTCTCGCACCTCACACACAGATCCAGGTTTTCGAGACCGCGCTGCTAGACTTCTCTTGCGCTTCGGCAACGGCCTGGGGAAACCAAACAATGCCACATACTTGGAGAAGAGCGCCCACGATGCGTCTGTGACGCCCGAGCCGTTTACTGAATATGAGGTTTTAGAACACATCCAAGTTGAAGATTGGATCGGTACCATTTCAGCTGACATTGAGGTTTGGGACTTGATGCACTCTAAGCCACGACTACGCGGTAGCCGTACTGTAAGTTGTCCTACGTACTCGCAGTAGACGTGGTGATAACTAATCCTGAATATTGTTTAACAGCGCCTATTTCCCACCCCTGACCAAGATTCCGTGCCTTATATCTATGCTGGTGACATGATCCCATTGGCACTGCATGATAGCTTCCCAAATCTTGACGTATCTCAAAGACTCGGTATCGATACGGATCTACTCTGTGAGTGGATGGCAGGGCTTATTCCGCAATTTGCTTGTCGGCGTGCCATCGAATTTTTCAGCCCGGAGAGCGAAGACGAGAATGTGGACTATATTCCGGATGACGAAGAAGAGGAGGAATAGTGATGAATCCATACCTTAGTTACGTTACCAGAAGTCCATTATTTAATCTACCAAGCTGCTTCAGCTTCAGCTCCAGCTCTACGCTTGTACGAACTTTAGAAAGGGCTGATCTCGGCTTAGCATAGAATCAAGATGTCAAATGATGTCATGAGCGAACATGAGAGTACTCGTAGATTTGTCCCAAGATGGTGGATGCTTAGCAGATGTTTTAGAGAATACCTCGTCTGTTCAAGCTGATTATATCTGGATGTAATGGAAACGGCATGTCAGTGACAGCTTTTCAGTGAATGGTCGTAGTGCCGCTAGCATTACTCCGTAAAGAGTTTGGTAAGGGTTGCTGCAGGGCTGTAAGTTGATCTATCAACTCCACAGCCACCTGTATCTCTACCACTCTAAGTGAATGTGTCGTTTACGGCCTTCTGTGTGTGTGACAGAATAATATACTACCGGTGTTGCTTTGTCAACTTCCCTTCCACATCCCCTCGGTATAAATCTGCCTACTTTTGGATCTCATTTCCAATCATTTTCTCCTCCCTCTCCTCTTCATCTTCTTCTCTAGATTATCGCCCATACAAATTGTTACTCACCCTGGGGTGGGATCTTCTTGTCGAAGTTTACCTCTTTTTCTTCTTCTGTGTGAAGCGCCCATACCTACAGCTTCCTACAGCCTCTCACTCTCCCCTATTTCGGTTGAACTTCGTGCCATCTCCGTGTCGGCATCACCTTTGCTCCAGCCACCGTCTGTCAAAATGGCGGAGCATTTATCGAGTAAGTGCCAGATTCTTCTATCAAACTCGGCTTCACTTCTGACTCACATCCCCAAGCCGTGATCCGAGCAAAGTCGGCCGAGATGTCTCGTCCATCGCCATTGAAAAATGACTCGATCAATATCATCACTCACGACATGAAGGCTCTGGTGAAGAAGATCCAAGATCTGCGACACCTCGGTATTGAAGACAGCCAGATTGCTCTCCCCAGAATCTGCGTTATAGGCGATCAGAGTGCGGGCAAGAGCTCTCTTATCGAGGGTATGAGCGAGATTAAAGTCCCACGCGCGGCAGGAACCTGTACTCGGTGCCCGATGGAGATTAATCTCACTGAAAGCGATCCCGACCAACCTTGGACGTGCCGTGTATACCTGTCGAGGAAATACTTTTATGACACGAGTCAAAGAGTTGATAAAGTGTCTAAGAAGTCACATCCTTTCGGCCCTTGGCATGTTCAGGATCAGGAGGACGAGCTGTTCATTACCTTGAGCGATAGAGATGATGTCGAAGAGGCGATCCGATGGGCCCAACTGGCTATTCTGAACCCAGGAAGACCGACAGCTGAGTACATTCCTGGGCAGAATTTTGAAACAGATGAGAATTATTGTCAGGCCAAGTTCTCACCCAATGTAGTGCGACTCGATATTTCCGCTCCTGGCTTCCCAAGCTTGTCATTTTACGATCTACCTGGTGTTATAAGCCAGGCCGAGCACGAAAGGGACAGATATCTGGTTGCTATGGTCGAGAATCTTGTTAAAGAATACATTACTCAAGCAAACTGCATCGTGCTGTTGACCTTGCCGATGACAAATGATGCGACCAACTCCAGTGCTGCTCGCCTCATGAGGGAGGTAAAGGGTGCAAAGGCGAGAACTTTGGGAGTGCTTACAAAGCCCGATCGAATCCAATCCGGGGAGTCATACGTTCAATGGCTGGAGATTTTGGAAGGAGACAAATTCAAGCTTGGACACGGCTACTATGTGATCCGCAACAATCCAGACCCCACGATCCAGCATGCTCAAGCGCGTGGTGAAGAGGATGCGTTCTTTGCTTCAGAGCCGTGGGCAACAGAACTTGCCGCATATCAAGAGAAGTTTGGAACCAGAAAGTTGCAGACAGCACTCTCAAGCCTTCTACTGGACCAAATCCAAGGTTGTCTTCCTAAGGTCATCGAACAGATTAAAGCCAAATCTCAACGTATCGATGCTGAGCTCCAAACCTTGCCGGATCCTCCTTCGGCGAGCAGTCCATTCATTCTGTGTCAGATGCTGAACAATTTCAGGGAGCGCGTGCAGGCGCATATGGACGGCGGCTCGGTTGACTATCCGCTGCTGAAGATGTGGTATCATCTAGCAATCGACTTCAAAAGGGTGCTGAGAGAAACCCGGCCAAGTATCAAGATATCCTCTCAAGCCGAGGAGCGTGAGAAAGCGATGTACAGTCAGAAGGCTGATGACTCAGATAGCGAAGTCACTATAGTCCAACCCCCTCCCCCAACTCCAGCAAAGCGCAAGGCCTTGAACCACGGCGATACACCGGATGCCAAGAGGAGATTTACACCGGACTTAGACAGTTTTAGGCCATTTGATAAGGTCCGTCGCGAGATCAAGAATTTCACCTGGGAAGAAATTCGGGAATGCAACGAAGCTGCCACGCGAGGGTGTCTTCCAGACCAAATCGATCCAAAAGCAATCGAAATACTGAATCAGCGGAGCGTGAAACACTGGAAAGCGCCATTGACCATTTTCTTGGATGAAAGCCATACCCTAGTGAAAAAGATACTGCTGGAGCAAGTTGATGAGGTCTTTGTGCAGTATCAGCGGACTAACCTCTATCGCGAAATACGCCGAATTGTGGAGCAATACTTACAGAAGCTTCACCAGCAGCACATCAACTGGGCAGAAGAAGTATATGAGATGGAACATAACAATCCTTTTACGATGAACGGATCAGCGCTAGAGCAGGCCATGAAACATGGGTTTGGTGTTCTCGTAGGCGCTCGAAACAGATGTCGCTACGCTTTGTACCAAGACCGTATTGGCAGATACCCACAGGGGGATATTCGCCGTGAGAAAGAACTCGATAGCATGATGGAGAAGCCACAGGAGTTGGAGGCAGCACTGGGTCCGGATCAGTACCTCCCGGAAATGAGAATCATGGCGGTAGGTTGAGATTCATAGGGATCTACGGTTACGTGGCTAACTGCCCTCTCCGTCAGTATGCGCGAGGTTACTATGATGTTGCGAGCTCTCGTTTCGTCGACTTGATCTGCCAGAGCACCCATACAAAGCTCTTCTCCAAGTGCCGCGGCCAATTGATCGAAGAAGTTCAACGCGAGCTACATATCAACGATCATGACAGTGAGTGTTGTTTATGGTTTCGAACAGGGCAACTGCTAACGTTCCCTACCTAGTGTTTGAGAGATGCTGCGATCTCATGGCAGAGGAGCCAGAGCGCCAACATCGCCGACTGGTTCTCCAACGCGAGAAGGAGAAGATTGTCAAGGCGCAGACATGGCTGTCGGCTGCCAAGAAGGACGAGCCCGAAGACGTGTACGACAGTATGCTGGTCAAGTCCCAACCTCAGGACGATTGGGCACCTTTCGCTTCGAGTATGGATACGTCTGTGTGAGAGTCTATATGCAGACGAGTGATCGGGACAATTGAGTAGAGCCAGAGACAAGGAACTTGGGGTGGGTTGAAGGGTGGAAGGCGGGGTACGCGGATATAGAAAGAGAGAGCGATAGATCAAAACCCCATCCGCATGCCCTAAGCCCTAAGCCCTGCCTGCCAATGATAAGGATTGATAGCGTTGGTATCGGATTGTACACTATACTAGTTTACAGAAAGAAGATCTGAAGTAACCAAAATATTCAAGATTGGGATGCTACTCCGTGTTTCTGTAATTCTCAACTCTTACGATGTGATCTCGTGCAGAGGCAGCGTTTCTTCTCAGCCTGAGGCAGCAATAGCCCGACAAACCGCCCGGCGTGAAATTATTGAGTCATCCATGATTGAATCGAAGGAGGGGCGGGCGTGGGGGAGCTGCCCCTCCCTACCCAATCACCGTCGCCCGCCTTGTCTCCCGCCCAAAATTCTCTCTCGCCGACTTCCAACCCACCAAACCCGCTGCTCCGTGTGTCATCTCCTTTCCCCTCCTTCTCTCTAAACGTCTTTCATTTGTCATAGAGGAGTCTAAGTCCCTGTTGCGGTACTTTAAGCCTCACTGATTCATCATGGCCGACAACACTGCCGTCCAACAGGCTGAGGCCTCGTTGGCCAACCTTATCCTCGACGAGGTCACCGGAGAGAAGGTCTCCAAGTCCGAACTCAAGAGACGCCAGAAGCAGCGCGAGAAGGAGGCCAAGAAGAAGGAGCGTGAGGCTGCTGCTCCTCCCAAGCCTGTCAAGAAGACATCTGCTGAAGACGATGAGGCCAACCTGACCCCCAACGTAAGTCGTACCCCGCCATCACCTGAGTCATTCCATCGCGCAATACTTGCTAACCATATTCGATAACTTGAACAATTATAGCAATATTTCGAGATCCGCAGCAAGAGAATCAACAAGCTTCGCGAGACCAAGCAGCCCGACCCCTACCCCCACAAGTTCCAGGTCACCGATGACCTCCGGAAGTACCTCAAGGAGTACGAGGGTCTCGCCAAGGGCGAGCAGAAGCCCGATGTCACCGTCCGCATCGCTGGTCGTATCTTCACCAAGCGCGCGTCCGGTTCCAAGCTGATCTTCTACGATATCCGTGCCGAGGGTGTCAAGGTGCAGGTTGTCTGCCAGGCTCAGAACATTGCCGGCGACGCTTCCTTCGAGGCCCAGCACGAGCACCTTCGCCGTGGTGACATTGTTGGTATTGTCGGTTTCCCCGGTCGCAGTAACCCCAAGAACCGTGAGGATGGTGAGCTGTCCATCTTCGCCTCAGAGGTTGTTCTCCTCGCCCCCTGCTTGCACGCCATCCCCTCCGAGCACTTCGGTCTGCAGGACAAGGAGCAGCGTTACCGCCAGCGCTACCTGGATCTCATCATGAACGACCGCTCCCGCAACGTCTTCCTCACTCGCGCCAAGATCGTCTCCTACGTTCGCAACTACTTTGACAGCCGCGACTTCGTCGAGGTCGAGACCCCCATGATGAACGCCATTGCCGGTGGTGCCACCGCCAAGCCTTTCATCACTCACCACAACGACCTGGACATGAACCTGTTCATGCGTGTTGCCCCCGAACTGTACCTGAAGATGCTGATCGTTGGTGGTCTGGAGCGTGTCTACGAACTGGGTCGTCAGTTCCGTAACGAGGGTATTGATTTGACCCACAACCCCGAATTCACCACTTGCGAGTTCTACTGGGCCTATGCCGATGTCCACGATGTCATGAACTTGACCGAGGAGCTTGTCTCTGGCTTGGTCAAGCACGTCACTGGAGGCTACGAGACCACTTTCCACACCCAGTCTGGTGAGGTCTACAACGTGAACTGGAAGGCTCCCTGGCGCCGTGTGGAGATGATCCCCGCTCTGGAGGAAGCCACCGGCGAGAAGTTCCCTGCTGGTGACCAGCTTCACACCGCTGAGACCAACGAGTTCCTCAAGCGCATCCTCAAGAAGACCGGTGTTGAGTGCTCTCCCCCCATGACCAACGCCCGTATGCTCGACAAGCTGGTTGGCGAGTTCATTGAGGAGACCTGTGTCAACCCCACCTTCATCACTGGCCACCCCCAGATGATGTCTCCTCTAGCCAAGTACCACCGCGAGAACGTCGGTCTGTGCGAGCGTTTCGAGGCTTTCGTCTGCAAGAAGGAGATTGTTAACGCCTACACCGAGTTGAACGACCCCTTCGACCAGCGTCTCCGTTTCGAGGAGCAGGCTCGCCAGAAGGACCAGGGTGATGACGAGGCCCAGCTCATTGACGAGAACTTCTGTACCAGCTTGGAGTACGGTCTGCCTCCCACCGGTGGTTGGGGTATGGGTATCGACCGTCTGGTCATGTTCTTGACGGACAACTACAGCATCAAGGAGGTTCTGGCCTTCCCCTTCATGAAGGATGACAAGACTGCCGCTGAGACCAAGAACGCCGCCGAGGTTGTTGGCATTGAGCCCCAGCCTGAGGAGGGTATCCGTAAGTCATTTCGATCTACAGTCAGAGAGATCCTCGAACTAATCAAAGCCAGCCCACAAATAAACGCACTTTGACGAATAATTTTGGACGATAGTCAAGCTGATGATGACGTGTTGCATGGGTTTCTGGGATGTCGATGAAGACTTCATTGAATTATAAATCAGGACAGATTATAATGGGTCTTCAGTCTCCTACAAAATTAGATGAATATGAAATGCATGTTTTCGGTTTCCCAGGCTAGAAATCACAAGTAGTATTAACTTGCTGTTAATCTTCGTCGTCATGCCAGTCCATCCCTGCTTTTTGTGAAAATATTACAGTGCTGATGCATCGAGCTGCACGTCTAATCAAGGAATCTGCATAAACCTTCCCGTATCTCGAAGCTGTGTCGAGCTTCTTTACCTTTGTCTATCTTGTCTCCCCTCCAATGAAGGCTGCCATGTACCAGATACATCCTGTGCGGACAAATCAATGAATGTCTAATGTCTGAAATTATGGCTCTGAGCATTAGTGCTTAGGGAAATTGCCTTATCGGAGAAGGTATGAGTTACAGGCCACAAAATTGGAGGACTTTGCCAGAAAATCTCATTTCAATGGCCTCAGAAATATAGGTTCCATGACTTTATATGTGTGCGAGCACCACGATATGGCATCGGGTAAATAATAAAATTCTCAGGTAATCTTTGCATTGATACAAACCGAAGCTTCGCGCCGGATGTTTCCCTTCTCCGCCAAGGGAGCGGGAAACGACGGCTATTTCCGTTTACCCTCCTGGTCTCCGCTCCGGTCCCCCCCCCCTCGTTGCGTTTCTCTCTCTTCCACGCGCAAATCGTTCGGTACCCATCTGGGCTGATTCCTAGGCTCCCGCATTCTACGATTGCGGCCTTGCTGCCAAATCCTTGGGTCGGAATTTTGACTTGTTTCTGCGATGTTATTGGTTGAGCTGGAACTCCACCCATCATGGAAGTCAGGAGGCCGTCCGCCCGCTACGGCGACACTCCGACGCGGACCTACCAACGGACCTACAAGGCCTGTCTCTCGTGTCGGCAACGCAAGGCCAAATGCAACCTCGGAACCGACCAGGACGGCTTTCCGATAGGGCCTCCCTGCGCGAAATGTCGAAGGGAACAGAGGGAGTGCATCTTCAGTGAGAAGCGGGCGTGGGAAAGAAGCAATAAACGCGGTAGGTGTTCCGCGGTGCTGGTGCTGGTGCATCTATTACCGTCTGTGCTTGTGCTTGGTTTCTTTGTATCAAGCAATGCTTCAGAACCTGATGTTGACTCCTTTCAATAGGTCTTTCGGAAGATGCACCCATGCCGTCGCCGAGTACACGTCGCAGGTTGTCGGACCATACCAGACAGGACCGGGAGCTACCCGACGACGTTTTAAAAGTCGGCGCTGACAGCCCCTTTGGTAACGGCAGCATGCCTGAGAATGAAAGCGGGGGATCGCATACGAATCACACTTCTGAAACACGGACTGGGCGCCGCGATCTTACTCATGATGTGCTCCAAGTGTTTGATGACCGTACCATGGACAATAGCACTACTGGTAGAAGCAACAGCTCACTTCAGTCTCAACCCTTTGATATGCAACGGACTCGGCGTCGAAGCGTGCCAGAGGATGTTTTACAAGTTTTTGACGAAAGAGTAGGTAGCGAAGGCACTGAACCACAACACGATACTAGGAGATCGCACCACTCTTCTGTTCCTGATTTATACGCATCCCGAACACGGAAATTGCCGGATAGCATGCCGCGAGGGGTGGACCAGCGTCCAGGTGGTGATAATAATAACCATGCAGATGGTGACAGAAGCTTCCACCACTCTTACGACACTGAGACACGCTCGAGCCAGCACCCAGCAACGTCGAATCTGGCGAATTCAATGATGCGGACCGTGGTCTCGAGTGGGAATGACGCTTTGAATATCCTTTTTGAGGCCGCCGTAGCCCACAGCCAGGAGAACATGGCCAATGAGTTTCAGTCGCAATCACAAACTATACAGGATAATGCCTCGCATGGCAGAGCCGTGGACAACAGTACCATGAACCCGCCGCAGTTCAAGTACCCTACAGAAGCCTTGGCCAAGGCGAAGCGCCCGGTACAGCTTTCACCTGCATCGGAAGATGTGCTCAAGGTCTGGGAGACCTGCCGATTCGTCAGAATGGGGTGGTTCACTTCAAGAGAAGCGGTAACCTTGATTGACCTGTACGTATATCTACTTCGACCTTGTTATAAACATATCTTGACGCTTGCAGGTTTTTCAAGAACATGGTTCCTCTATCCCCAATCTTGACCAATTTCTATGCCGATCATAGTAACCACAAGCATCTGATCACTTGTGATCCGGCTTTGTGTTGCGCTATATTGATGCTATCGTCTCGGTATCATGTGTTGCCCGGTGCTGGAGGCGAGTCCCGGAACTTCTTTATTCACCACCGTCTCTGGCAGCATTGCCAACATCTCGTGATGCGACTGGTATTCGGGCAGGAAAGATCGTCGCATGCGAAAAATAGGAGCATCGGGACCATTGAAGCACTGCTCTTGATGTCGGAATGGCATCCCCGATCATTGCACTTTCCCCCTGAAAGTGACGGGTGGGATTCAGACTTGGTTCTGGTCCCTGAGCCCCAGAATCAAGATGATTCGTCGTCAAACCGATGGCTGGAAGACATGGTCGAGCCTGCCAGAAGATCGGATCAGATGTCCTGGATGTTACTGGGATCCGCGCTGTCGCTAGCACACGAGTTGGGGATCTTCGAACTCGATGATAAGAAGTGCGACTATGCGTCATTATATGAGGGTTTCATCTCAAATGATCAAATCAAACTGCGCAGGCTTCGAGTGCAGCGCCTTCTGTACGTCTACATCAATCAGCTGGCTTGGCGGATTGGATGTGTTTCACTCATGCCGCAGAGCTTGAATCATACAATACTCGGTCGGCAGACGACTAGGGATGTGAGCCATTCAGAAGATGAATGGTTGGCGTTGATGGACTCTTGGATGGATCTCACAAAATTGGCCAAGAATGTGACGGATATGTTCTTCCCTTCGATAACGTTCGCGAGGCAGCAGCTGCACAGTGGGCGTTATATCGACTTGCTGGACCACTTCTGCCCTCTTCTGCAGAAATGGAAGGAGCAGCATCTTCGGCATGACGGTATGTGTTCCTTGGGTACTGCGAAAACAGTCTTTGCCATGATATGCTGATTGATCTATGGCGCAGTGCTTAGCAAACATTTCTACGACATTCTCTTCATTGAATACAACTTCGTGCGGGTCTACACGCACTCAGTGGGGATGCAGGCAGTTGTGGAGCGCATAGTTGCGGACAACGACTCGAACGTGGAAGAAGTCCGCGCTATGCATATCGATCCGATTGACTACAACTATATTCAGGAAGTGATTGATGGATGCTGTCAGATCCTGCAGAAGGTCATCGAACTTGGTGACTCAGGAGCTCTGCGGTTCTCTCCGGTCCGAATCTTCTTGAGAATCACCAGTTCCTCTATCTTCCTGATGAAAGCCCTAAGCCTAGGCACTCGTCCAGCAAGACTGCGCGAGTCACTAGATATACTGGAGCGCTGCGTACAGGTGCTGAAGTCGAATGCTCTTGACGATATTCACCTAAGCACCCGATACGCCGAATTGCTGGAGATGCACGTGTCGCGCCTGCGTCGAAATCTGCTTGCATCTTCCAAATCTGCTAAGAACAGTCATGGAACCACGACTCGCAGCTCAATGATTCCTCAACAGAGTACAGAAAGCGACAATCCTGCCCCCATGGCCGAGACCCCCGTGTCGCAGAGCCTGGCGGACGTGAGCCTGTTTCCCCAGCTCAACGATATCGCCGGGGATGATTGGCTTTCCCTACCGTTTGATCCGTCGATGGCACCCTTTGGAATCAATAGTTGTGGGCAATTTCCCGCTTATGGAGGAGGAGCGTTGAACTTCATCTGGAACTTGCCATCGTAGTTGATGCCATCTATCTTGAGGCTGGACCCACTTACTGTAGTACTATGTACTGAAAAAATCAAACTTTATCATGCATTATCTTGCTTAGCGAGTTGACTTTGTTGATTCAAATATGCCGCAGATAGGTGGTGCCTCCATGGTTGTGAAGTGTGAGCGGAAAGCTCCCAACGATATACATAGGCTAAGCGTTTACTTGACGTGGAGCTTTCTAAGGCTAAACATGGTAAATGTCGTGCACATCTCTAGCCTGTTGTAAGGTAGACAACACAAAGGAAGAATGTATAGCACACTCGCTAGCAACCACCGACATTGATCTCTTATCATCAGCATGGCGTCAGAGAGACACAAAGTCCGGATGAGTCGGCCAGACAAAGCGCTCGGGCCTTTGACTCTAAGAAAAGCACTCAAGGACAAAAGGAGAGGAAGAAAACTTTGATGGAATCCCTGTCAGTTGGAATGCATACTTTCCTCCTCGTCTTCCCGACTCGCCACTCACAGACTGGGTTCGGACTGGGTTGGACAATGTTTTGGAAGGGAGATTCCGGGCTGGTTATCGGCACGTGACCTGGGCCTGGGGGGAACAAGTCACGTTTTCCCGGCGAAAAAAGCCAGAAACTTATTGTTGCGATCCGCCTTCGCTCTCCGTTCCCCGACCCCAGAGTTTGTCCATTAAAGACTGCTTCTGCCAGCCTGTCGTGCACCACCTCGACTCGATCTCCCGACCCGATCTCTCTCCCTGCAACTCGCATCACATTTCCGTCGAGTTCGATTTTTACGGTACTGCGAAACCACCGTCCTCCCAACCTCTTACTCGACCGTGCAGCTCCTGCCACAGCTACTTGACTTTCTCCGGGCACGCTCGCCATTTGACCTCTCTCTCCACCTCTTCTTCGCTTTAATTCATATATCGCAATGGATCACTCCAGAGATCCCTGCCCCTGGGTTGCCCTGAGCGACTTCGGCGGTGCTTTCTGTATGGGTGTACGTCATCAATGAACTCCCAAGCTGAATCACACTCAGCTGCATTTGCATTTCCGCCATCGATCCCACAAACTAAACTGTTTCCTTCTGTATAGGCTATCGGTGGTGCCGTCTGGCACGGTGTCAAGGGTTTCAGAAACAGCCCCTACGGAGAGCGTCGGATAGGTGCCATCACAGCCATCAAGGCTCGTGCGCCCGTTCTCGGTGGTAACTTCGGTGTTTGGGGTGGTCTCTTCTCGACCTTCGACTGTGCGATCAAGGGTATCAGAAAGAAGGAGGATCCCTACAACGCCAGTATGTTTTTTTCATCCGTTGTTGTACAGCTGTACACGAATGCGAGCGGCGCGGCATCGCGCGCGTTTTCATGGCATGACGACATGGCTAATTTACTTCGCAGTTATTGCTGGTTTCTTCACTGGTGGTGCTCTGGCTGTCCGTGGTGGTGTCAAGGCTGCCCGTAACTCGGCCATCATGTGTGCTGTCTTCCTGGCTGTTATTGAGGGTGTCGGTATCGGGTTCCAGAGAATGATGGCCGACAACACAAAGCTCGAGGTGAGAATTAATCCCGGTTTTGTTATCCCGGGGCATGGTTTGGCCAGTGGCTTGTTTGGCAAAAGAATCAAGACCCCCGAGCTTTTTCTTGGGAAAGTTTATCAGGAGCTAACCTCTATGATCTCATCGACTTTTAGCTCCCTCCTCCTCCCCCGACCCCCGAGAAGGCCGTCGCTTAATTGATCCACCACCACCTAAAACTCTCCTCCATTTCATGCTAGTTAGGAACGTACGAATCCCCGCGTTGTCAGCAATATGCCCATCTTTCTCATATCCTTATCCGTGGTCTCTCTTCTCTGGTGTTGGGCTGGTTCATATCATTTCAGGATGCATGGTATAGAGGTTCCTTTCGACTCCTTGCTTCGATCCTCCTCCCCTCTCTCCCTCTCTTATGATGTCTTTTCTATAAAGAAGTGTGGGTTTTTGTCGGCGATTTTGGATGACACAGCCTTGCATCCTTGTGTATTTTTTCTCTGTTGTGTGTTTTTCTTTTCTGAGAGGGGCAGATCTCAAAAGAAGAGGTTCTCTCCGGATCAGTCGGGGGGAACTGTTTTATCTCTTTTTATTTTTCTTGTACATTAACATGCAGATAACAGGTATAATGTGATACTTCGTACACAGTGAAGTTTTACCTCTGGTAGTCATTGACTATTGCTTATCGGGAAGTTGATTTGTGCAGCCCTGAGCAGATTGTGACGGAGTGAGTGAGTGAGTGAGTGAGTGACGGCAGACGACCCATCCCAATCAGGCAAAGAGCGTCTGCAGTGCCAGCCGATAAGCCGCGCTCAAGACAATCCATCAACCCCCGGCCGACCTTTATCCCTCCCCCTCTCAGCGCCTCTTTCAATCGAACTCAGAAACTCATAACTCCCAAAGGCTGCTGAGCACACCACCAGCCTGAGTCTTTATTCTCTGCAGATCCTACACCCGGTATACGAAACCAACCAGCCGCCAGCACCACCGCCACCCACAACAATGACCTCCAACTCCCACCCCTCCGACCACAACCACAATCCCTCCTCCCCCCTCCCCCCCCTCTTCAAACCCACCCTCATCCTCCACGGCGGCGCCGGCGCCATCCACCGCGCCACCCTCCCACCCGACCTCTACGCGCAATACCACGCCTCCCTCCTCGACTACCTGCGCTCCACCCGCGCCCTGTTGGAGGGCGGCGCCTCGGCCCTCGACGCCGCCGTCCACGCCGTCTCCCTGATGGAGGACGACCCGCTCTTCAACTGCGGCCGCGGCAGCGTCTTCACGGCCGCTGGCACCATCGAGATGGAGGCCTCGCTCATGGTCACCTCGGTGCACCCGGGGCATCCGCTGTCGGAGCGGCGGGTCGTCAAGCGCGGCGTCGGCGTGATGGGGCTGCGGAATGTGAGGCATCCGGTTCGGTTGGCGAGGGAGGTGCTGGAACGGGAGGGGCGGGGCCAGCGGGGTGCTGGTGGTGGGGATGGCGGCAGTATGCACTCGCAGCTGGTGGCGCCTTATGTGGAGGATGTGCTGGCCCGGCAGTGGGGGTTGGAGTTCATGCCCGATGAGTGGTTCTTCACGCAGCGGCGCTGGGAGGAGCATCTGCGGGGGTTGCGGGGTGAGACTGAGGAGATCTCGATGAGTCAGGGGACCGTGGGCTGTGTTTGTTTGGATCGCGGGGGCGGGCTGGCGGTTGCTACGAGTACCGGCGGCTTGACGAATAAGTTGCCGGGGAGGATTGGGGATACGCCGACCCTAGGGGCGGGCTTTTGGGCTGAGGCGTGGGAGGAGGATGGGGTTGAGGGGATGGGGTGTGGTGGTCTGGTGGATGTGGATGGCGAGAAGGGGGAGAAGGCCGGAGGGCTTTGGGATCTGACTCTGGGAGATTGTTTGCCGGGGTTTGTGAAGGATGGGGCTGATAGGATGTTTGAGGCTTTGTGGGGAGAGGAGGAGGAGGAGAAGGAGGAGGAGGATGGGTTGGCTCGACGGGGTTACGATGGTGATGATACTGCACCAAAGTCGCAAAAGTCGGAGAAGGAATGGCTGATTGCGCACCCGCTGGAGCCGACTCCTGCGCAGAAGCGGCGTGCGGTTGCGGTGTCGGGGACGGGCAATGGGGATTCCTTCCTTCGCACGGCGGCGGCGCGGACGGCTTGCGCCACCTCCCGCTTCTCAACCCCCAAACCCTCGTTGGCTGAGGCTGTCAGTGCCGTTGCTGGGCCCGGCGGCGAGTTGCAGCGTTCGGCCGGGGATCGTTGGGGCTCAACGGGCGAAGGTCAGGGGGGTATTATTGGTATAGAGGCTGAGTTGGAGGATCCCGTGGTCATGGATCATGGTGATGATGACGACAGAACCAAGCTCCGGCGGGGAAAAGTGGTGTTCGACTTCAATTGCGGAGGGTTATGGAGGGCTTGGGTGGAGGATTCTGGTGATGGGGAGGAAGTTGAGCGGGTGATGGTGTTTAGAGAGGAATATAAATAGAGAAGAGAGTGAGAGAGAGAGAAGTTACTAACTACCTACTAACGTTATACTACTTAGTATACACAGTAGTTAAGTTGGGTAAAAGATGATTAGTCAACTACTCGACAGCCTCGAACAATGACCAAGCTTGAAATCACCAAGAGATTGTTCTGAGGCAGACAGTAACAATAACCATACTTAAAATAGGTAGTCTTCAAGTGCCTGCAAGAATGTGTTGAAGAGTATCCGTAACAAGTAACAATAGCAAGTAGCAAGACAAGCAAAAGCAAGCAAGCGGAAAGACCACCCAGTACTAGGTAACTAGACCCCACTCACTTACTGTCTCGGCTTGGCGCTTCTTTTCCTCCATCCATCGTCACGTTCCTTTCCTTTCCCTTCCTTCTTTCCCTTCTTCTCTCTCTCTCTCTCTCTCTCTCCTCTTCTCCTCTTCTCCTCCCTCCCTCGTGTGTTGCTCCTCTCCTCTTTCTCATCGCTTCTCCCCCCTCTTTCGGACTGCATCACCTCGCATCTCGTCGCATGCCATCCTCAATTCCTTCTCCATAATTCCAGCCATCTCGCTTGCCTCTCATTCGCTCCATTTGGTTTGTGTCATGCATGCATTGAGCTATACCTTCCCAGTCCACGCCATCTTCCAGTAACCCTCCTAGCGCACGCGTCTCTCCACAACCCTCACCCCTCGCCACACTTTCAATCAATTTTCCCTCCTCAATCTCAGGCAGCCTCGTTCGCCATGGAAGAAAGCGCCTCGTCGCGTCCCACCAACACCCCCGAGGGGTCCGTCGGAGCAGACGATCACAACCCGTCGAGCTCCGCGAAGAACCCGGCCCTCAAAGATCGGCAATGCAAATACTGCCACCAGGCATTCACCTCATCCTCCCTCGGACGCCACCTCGATCAATTCATGTTCAAGAAGAAACCCGACGGCATCCACGATGTCGAGGAGATTCGACGCATTCGAAGTGAGATCACGCGACGCCAGGCCCGCACCTCGTCCGGCAGACGCGACACCCCCGAGCGAACACCGGGCAAACGTCAACAAGACCTATTCAGCTCGGGCGACTCGGGCACGAAGCCACGCGACGGCGCGTATAGGATGATGTTCAACACCCCTACGTGGCATGCGACCGGAGTCATCAACGACATCCCGAATCCGAGCCAGGCGCAGGAGGGCACCTCCGCCCATTCGCGCATTGCGCCTTCGCAGTCTCGAACCGGATCCTTCACCTTCACGGATAGACACAATTCGAGTAATCCGGATACCATGCGGGCGCTGGAATTGGCTTTGCGCGAGGTGCTGGATAACATCAAGGCTGCAACGTATGACCACCTCCCATCTGGCCCTTGGCGCGTTTTGATAAACGATCTGACATTCTTGGTCCCTCCAGCTCTCGAATGCGCCCCCGACTCTCTCCATTTGACTTTGACATCCAATCGCAAACGTTTCCCTCCCTCTGTCTGCAGCTTCTCCCTCCTCCGCCCAGCCTCTTCGCGACCAACCCGTTCCCCTCACCTACATCTTTCCCACTCCAACCTCCGGGAGTCGAGCACCTCGAGATTGTCCGACAAGCTCTCCGCGCCAAAATTGAACAATGGCAGTCCGACCAACTCTCTTCCGTTGAGTCCGGTTCTCACCCTCATTCCGGCCGCCCATCGACCTATGGGCTCGACTCCAGTATGATCAGCCGCAGCGCCCAACAACACGAAGACCTCAGCCTCCGTCATCTTGAACTCGCCTTCAAGCACTGGGCCTCTTTGTCCCAGGAAATGCGCAAAGATGCTTGGCAACTCGAGATCACGCGCGCTTTCGCTCGCGAAACGGACAAGCGCAAATCCTTGGACGATCAGCTCGCCCGTGTCCAACAGGAAGCCAACCAACTCCGCGCCCAGGTCGAACGACTCGGTTCCTGCCAATGGCCGCGAGAGTTTGCACTCTTCCCGCCTGACACCTTGCCTCTTCCGCGGGATGTCGCCAAGGAGTTGGACGCGCACCAGAGCCAGATCTCCCCTACCTCATCGCGATGGGATTACGACAATGTTGTTGCGAAATGGAAGCGAGTTGTGATGCATGATAAGGGAATGGGTCGCGTGGGCGTAGGCTACACAGCCTCCCTTCAGCAGCAGCAACATCAAGATGATCTCCCTCAGATAGCGCCTTCTAGCACAGAAACAAGACAGCAGCGCAGTGCGACGGCCACAGCAGGCGATGACAGGACAGCAAGCAGAATGCTACACCCTCCGACGGGCGCCTCGGCCTTGAGTCCCGATCCTTCCCCAACGAATCCCGCCCCTATTCCCAGCGCAGCACCCGCATCATCATACCAGCAGCAGCAACAACAACAACAATCACAGCAACACCAGGATTCCGTGACTCGCAGCCCTGAAACGGGCCCTCATGCCAAACGCCCTCGCTTGATGAACGGTCATCATACGGCGACGGCAGCGCCATCCGCTGTCGGACACGACGCCCCAGAGGGCAATGTCCCTAGCTCTGGCGTACCTGTACCATTGTCCTCGCCAACCGTAACTACCGGTGCCGGCAGCACATCAGCCCAGCACTCCACCGGCTCCTCCAGCCTGTGGACCGCTCCGCAACAATCCGGCGGTGGTATCTCCTCTAATCCCACAGGTACAGCCTCCGGGACTTCCGCACCGACGCCGCCGCCCTCCTGCTCAGAGACGGCTTAATGGGTGTCTGAGGCAACTAGCTTGCCTTTGGCACTCTTATCATCCCACCGAGTGGGACGCCTCGAAACTTACCTCTTCCTAAGAAGACAAATGTACTCTCGTCATTCAGAAAATGAAGGTACAACCGGGTATATTCTCATCACCGACTCAAGGTCACTATTTACAACCATCTATCTATCTATCTATCTATCTATCTACCTCATTATTGAAAATGTGTCCGATCTTAACGTCGGGGAGAAGCAACAGTGGACCCACACTCCCCCACAAGTATAGGTTATGACAGGATGAAGGTGGGGTGGGGAGGGAAACGAAGCCATCCTATGCAAATGAGTGGTGTGTCATCTTGAGGATTGTTTCTGTTGTGTGTTGATTCTCCTGTACATACGTTTTTATATACATGATCCTTGAGATTGGAATTCCATTCACAGTCTAAACTATACTAGTACTTTTCAGCGTTCAAGTTCCAAGTAAACCCTCGACTTAACTCCCGAGGTTCTCCTATATTTATTCCCCCCCTGTTCCCAACAGCATGTCTGCGCATGTCAGTTTGCCTCTTAGACAGCCCACCCACTCACCGATCCCCCGTCTTCTCCTGCGGAGCGTTCGCATCCTTCGCCTTCCGCTTACTAAACCACTTCCTGATATCACCGATGCCATGCAGATACAGCCATGAAAAGAAGAAGACCGCCATGAAGTTGAACATCACGTAGGCCCAGAAAATCCCCTGCATTGGGCTATCAGCTTCATGTCGACCTGAGACCAAAGGGAAACAGCCCAGCAAGATTGACCAGCGGCCGGGGGACAAGATAGACTTACGTAATCTCGCCATTTATGCGAGTAGAAGACGTTGAAACTTGCGGCCTGGGATGGCACGGCGAAAGGATATACGTTAGTGCTCATGCCGCCTTCAGAGGGAGAGGCATAGAGAGGAAGAGAGAGAGACATACAAAGACATCGCCATCAGCGTATTGACAGAAGGCACAGAGCCCGTTGGCCGCGTCTTGGACGTATCCGCCAGCTTGCGAGGCGTAGGCACCGGCGTAGTCCTGACAGGTGGAGCCGGGGGGCGGACTGAAGAGCGACTCTTCGCGGGAGACGCAGCGGACGGGGACGTTGTGGGTGACCACGCCCAGGAGTCCCTCGAGGAGGTAGTGGAAGGGCGTGAGCCAGTACATCCAGGAGCGCCAGAAGTGGATGAGCGCGTTGTAGGGGACGACGACGCCGCAGAAGGAGACGACGAAGGTGAAGAACGTGGGCACGAGGAGGGAGGCGAAGAGCTCGTTGGGCGCGAAGGCGGCGATGAACTGCCCGAAGCCGATGTAGAAGGCCTCGAAGAGCATGAGCATCATCCAGACGTAGCCGGAGCTGAACGAGTCGCGCGGGAACCAGACGCCCCAGTACCTGTGGTGGTGTCTATTAGTTTGCGTGGACGGATGGAGATGGTGAAGAGAGAGGGTTTGCTTGCCAGCAGTTGAAGTAGAGCGAGCCTGCGACGATTGAATACGGCAATTCGGGGAGAATGGCGCTGGTCACGAAGGCTGTCCAGGAATAGATCTTGGAACCGGCCTCCCGAGACTGGTAGAGATCGCGGAAATGGAGGTATCGAGGCTGGAGCTGCTGGATCAGAGGCGGGCAGATGGTGAGGGTCATGAAGATGGAGAATAAACGGGATTGCATGTCGATTTGGCTGTTGCCTAGGTGCCAGAAGGTGAAGGTATTGAACAATCCGGTGAAAATGTGCAGGATGAATTTACCCTGCGAGCTTGTTAAGACTGATGGCTTATAGCAGTTCGACCACCACCTACCAGAACGTATTGCGGCGCCCGCCAGTAGGCAATGAAGGATCGTTTGGTGACCGCCAAAATTTGCACCCAGACGGGCATCGCAAACTCGCGGTCATCATCTGTTCGTTCTCCTCCTTCCTTGTCCCGACGTTCTCGGGTTATCTTCTCGATGGTCTCTGAGAGTTGTCTGTGTTCTTCTGAATTGGCCCAGACATCGCCCCAGTCTTGTCCTTTGTACTCAGGGTTTCCAGCACCAATGGCGTCGAGCATGTACTACTTCAGTCAGTGAAACAGGTCGATGTGATATGAAAGGCTGCAAATACCTCGGCAGGGTTCTCGTGCGAGGCACACTTCCTGGCGCCATTGCTTTCGAAATAGTCAATGAGCGTCCTGGAATCTGAGCCCAGCTCAGCGTTGTAAACGACCCTTCCTCCAGCTTGTAGCAAAAGCAAATCGTCGAACTCTTCGAACAAAACAGCAGACGGCTGATGGATCGTGCATAGAATCGCTTGACCAGCATCGGCAAGTCGTCGGAGAAAGCGTACAATATTGTAAGCGGCCAGTGAGTCCAGCCCAGAGGTCGGCTCATCAAGGAAGAGTAACAGTTGTGGCTTGCTTGCTAACTCAACCGCAATAGTCAATCGCTTACGTTGCTCTGGGTTCAGCCCAGCGCCACCGGCCCCGACTGTTGCTCCTGCTATGCCTCTCATTTCCAGCAGATCAATGATCTTCTCGCAATAATCATATTTTTCCTGGATCGAAACGTCGCTTGGTTGACGAAGACGGGCCGAGAATCGGAGTGATTCTCTCACAGTAGCTGTAGGCTCATGGATGTCCATTTGCTCAGCAAAGCCAGTGGCTCTTTGGAAACTCTTTGGAAGCGGCCTGGAGAACTCAGCAACAGCGGAAGGACTGCTAAGATGGACACACTTACTTGCCATCAACAAGGAATGTACCAGTGACAACACCAAAGTTGACACGCTGCGCTAGGGTATTCAAAAGGGTTGTTTTCCTGAAACGATGGTAAGTCAGAATTTCGACGGAGATAGTTGATTCATAGACTAACCCTGCTCCTGACGCACCCATGAGAGCTGTGAGACGACCTGGCTTAACGTATCCCTGTACGTCTTGGAGGAGCTTCTTCTGGTCGCCTTTATACGGGATTGTATAATTCACATTTTGCCACGTGAAGATAGAAGTACTTTTCGCGATACCCTGAACCTGTTTCTGTGATTCGTCCGAGTTCTTTTCTTGGAGGCTATTGCTGCTCCCAGATTCGATATCACCCGGAAGCTCCTTGTATTTCACCGCATCCTCGACAGCTTTGGGTGCCTCGCCCCGCTTGAAGATGGTGACCGTGCTGCCTCCCTTGTTGGGTTTCTGGAGTTCCATGCCTAGCATGGTCAGAACGACGAAGAGTATGAACCAGCCGATGATAATCCCAAAGTTACGCCAAAGATGAGATCGACTGTATGTGAAGGCTTCTTCTATATATCTAGATCCCTGAACGACCAGCTGATTCGGGGTGCTTCCTTGTATGGCGCACACTTGATGGCCTGTCTGTGCAGTCGGACCATCTGGGAAAATAGCTGGTGGAACGCATTGTAGGTTGAGATTGTAAAACTCGTTCGACATGATTGCCTCAAAGGCGTATTGTACTGGATTGACCCAAATCAACCATTTGAACCAAGGATGCATCTTCCATGGAGGGATGAGATAACCTGAATTGGTCAGTTGTTATATGACAAGGGATGCGAAGGGCGGGACTTCAATTACCGGTATATACGATCAGAATCTGAATCACGACACCGGTAAGACGTGTGGCTAGAGATATTAGTCCAGGCTCTAGAGTCCCTTAAGATCTTACTCACAAACGTCAAGGGAGCCAGTCAAGGCGCCGATGGTTCGGAACAAGGAATACATCGTCATGGTAAGCGTGAATATAAACAGGAAGTTGATAAAGAACTGGGATGCTGTCCTCTGAAGGTTCGACATGCTGCGCAGGATGGTCAGCTACTATTGCGCTAAATAGGCTAAAGAAGGCGTACAAATATACCACCAACTCGAAAAGAGTTACTTGGATGAAAATAATAGGCACATCAACAACGACCTGAGCCAGAGCAAATGCTGAAGGACGATAAAAGGAACTTTGGGAATTAGTATCGGTTCCTACGTTTTTGATGCAGTACTCACAAAGTCTTGTGCTTCAGCATAATAGGCCGACTCGAGAAGAACGCCGTAAGTTCAGCCATGGCGAGAAGTGCATTGAATAAAAGGACAAAGAACAATACACCCCCTCGTGTGAAAACACCGGCACTGCGTACTGATTAGAGAGTCCAGAATGGCTGGCATAGGTGCGGACAAACCTGGTCTGGGGAAGGTCATAAAACAGACTTCCAATGATCAATGCTTGGAAAGTAAGCATGGCCCATTTGCCGATCAGTGTCTGCTTATCACCATACATGATGAGAAACTGTCGCTGGGTCAATATGATAATTTGTTTATAAAAGGATACTGTGTAATTCTTCTTGAGCTTTTCCCTGGCAACCTCCTGTTCCTCTCTATGGACCTCTACCTCCTGCTCAAAATCCTCGATATCTTTTTGAGCAGCTTTAGAGATGTCACTGTGTCGATATGCTCTTTGGAAATCCTCCCCTGACCGAGGAATGCGATCCTCCCACCCTTGCTTGACACGCCTTGCAAAGGGATCGCTGACCGATGTCAGAAAATCCGGGGTTGTCCATCGAGGAGGGCACTCGAATCCCAAGCTCTCGAAGTAAGCTTTTGCATTTTCTGTGCGTCCGTAGTATGCGCATTTTCCGTCCTCGATCAACATCACCTTGTCGAACAAGTTGTAAAGGTTTTCCGACGCCTGATACAGTGCCACAAGGGTGGATGCATGGGACATGTCTGTTGAGCTCCTTAGGCTCTGGACATACTCCAGGGCCGTGCTTGCGTCCAGGCCTTTCGTCGAATTGTCCCAGCATTGTGTGCTAGCCTTAGTGACCAACGCTTCGCCGATGGAAACACGCTTTTTTTCTCCCCCGGAAATACCACGGATTAGTTCATTTCCAACCTTTGTGCCGAGCGCATGTTCAATCCAGAACAACTTGGCAATTGTGGACAGGAAGGTTTCCTGATACTGCTTCCTGGTTTCTCCCGGAAGTCGCGACTCCTGGCCCGGTGTCCTGCTTTTCAGCGCGAACATGAGTGTATCTCGGACTGTAAGCGTGGCATAATGAAGATCATCTTCGGGATTATAGAGCACTACGGACGTCAGTCCTGGATCAACAATGCCAGAAACCAAGAACAAGGATTGAATACCTTCTGAGCGATATTTATCGGCCATTGTCTCAGAATCAGTGCCTCCATACAGTACATCGCCTTCGACACTCTTGTAGCCGGACCTCTGATTTCCTATCACTTTCAAAAAGGTTGAGCAGCCAGATCCGGGGCGACCCAGCACGAGAAGCATTTCTCCAGGCCGCACGCAACCCTTGTAGGAAAAACAAAAGTCAGAATCATTCTTATAGGAATGAGGTGCAACGCTATCACTCACTGTGAAGTCGTCAAGAATAGTACGCAACGCATTCCCTGAACCATGATGCTTGCGACGAGTGAAAAAGTTCTTGATCAATCGAGGTACGGCAAGAAAGATGTCTGCATTCGTAGGTTGAATGGCAGCGCCTAGTCCCACGCCTTTAACCGTGAGATTCTTCCATACTACGCCGAGATGCCTCGTCTTTTCCTCTTCTGAGTTGGCTTTCCTCTCGTGGCCAAACATCCGAGACACCAGTTTCGCAATCTGAGCGGTATCATCTGCACCACCCCCGGATTCAGATCCTGACCTAGGGGTTTGTCTCTTGGACAGCACGCGCGCAATATCATCATCAGTCAATCTTCTGTCGAGAGTGAGCCTCTTTTGACTCCCAGCGACGTGTCCGCTGGCAAGGGTGGATTGGTCTTCATGATGGCTGGACCCGGAGTGCGAGATTGACTCGGACAGAGACAAAGAAGTCTGCGAGGGGTTATCCTCGTGCTGGACGTTTAGATTGCGTCTGGAGCCGATATTCTGCTCTCTGTCCATGATTTATGATAAGCAAGAGCCTGGTCATTGACCTGATGGCAATTAAAGATCGAGCTGCGCATTCAGAAGGATATATGGGGAGCACCAGGGGTAGAGTCTGGACCGACGCATTGGAACATACATCATCAGATTATATTCACCCCTAACGTCTGATAACGGACATTACCGGATGTACAAGAAGCAGGAAAGAGTAGTGGGGTCTCCGAGAGCCTATTGATCAGCAAACCCAAACTCAAAGCTTCCCGATGTGACAATGCGGGCGTGAGGTGGGTGAGTCGGAGTCCGACATGCCGATGCGACGGAAATAGGCGAGTGCTGTTCCGATTCGAGGAGTGGTGAGCATTTCCAAGGTTGAAGGCGAGAAACCCTGAGCTGCCAGGGTGTGTGGTGGCGGATGATGCGATGCGGTTCAATTGACGTCGAGCATCATGAAGTCATCATCTGCGGCCATCGGGCGAGAACCATGGAATTGGGTTTGGTGCATCCTTTGAACGCCAAGGGGAGCTGAATCATGCGACATCACGGGTCCTTCCCAACTTGAATACTCCGTCATACCTATTATAGGTGATTGTGCTATGTCGAGGTGTCGAGGTTGTCGGGGTTAGTGTATGTCGTGCTTGGTGTTGTTGCAGCTGCCGACTGGTCATTGTACATGGTTCTCGATACGTTGTAGACGAATAGCATCATAGAATCAATGTGAAAGGGTAATAACATGACATAAGACAAATTGAGATCTAGACTGAATGATGAAGTAGATCTGGAGATAAGGCGGAGGCGGAGGTGGAGGTTGATGTGGATGTGAAAGTGGATGTGGAAGTGGAAGTGGTAGTAGTGGAAGGCTTCCCCTTCCCTTTCTTCCCCTCTTCAACTTCCTCACAAACATTGTCATTTTTCCCAACCCCGCATCTACAGATCGAACAATGAGGGGGAAGTTCAGCAATCCCAGTCACGACGATTAACCGGATCAATAGGAGGGATCTTCTCTGCAGCGGGATATTTATCCCGTCTCCTGGTAGATGCAGATCTCCGGACTTGAATGGTTCCACCACTTTCATGACTGCAGACTGCAGCAGCAATGCCTGCGATTGATTTCTGTTTTGGCTAAATAATGACAAGCCTTAGCGTTAAAAGGACGCCCTCAGCATGGGCAGACTTGAAAGAATCATGAGCATCTCAGAAGTTTATAGACTTTGAGCATCATCATCAACAACATCATGCGCGTACCCTTCCTCACTGCGCTGCTCGCCATTCACCCGGTTGCAGCTATAGACGCGAGCAATGGAACTCCAACCACCAGCTCAGCGCCTCTAGTCACCAGCCTTAACCTCACAGTCGAAGGTCAGCTTCTTCCCTAAGGGGGCTCTCCGTAGGGACCTCAGCTCATATACCATAGACCTGTGGAACATCTACATCGGTCCCGTGGAGACCGCAGCGGTCAATACCACCGTGGAGCCCACTCCAGTCCCAAGCTCCCAACTGATCCCACCGCCCCAATTATACTATCCCTCCTACCTGACTGGCGCCCAAGTTCCCGCCCAGGGGAAGAATGATAGCTGGTCCTTCCCCAAGGGATTCTGGTGGGGCGTCACCAGTGCCTCGTACCAGGTCGAGGGGGCTGTCAAAGCCGACGGCCGTGGCCCCAGCATATGGGATGCCTTCACGCATCGAGCAATGAGTGTAGCTGATAACCAAACTGGGGATATCGCGATTAACCAGTACTACACCTACAAAGAGGGTACACACCGTCCCTCATGATACCTTCCAGTCCTCTCGGGAGAACCTAGATCTAACCACTACGACCAGACATCCAACGCATCGCCGCCATGGGCGTCAAAGCCTATTCCTTCTCCATCTCCTGGTCCCGGATCTTCCCCTTCGGCAATGGCCCGATCAACGAAGCTGGTCTCCAGCACTACGACGACGTGATCGACACCTGCTTGGAATACGGGGTGCAACCGCAGGTTACCCTCTACCACTGGGACCTGCCACTCTTCCTGCAGCTCTCATACGGCGGATGGACCTCCGAGAAAATCGTCGACGACTACCTCGCATACGCTCGCGTACTCCTAATCCGATGGGGCAGCAAAGTAGCGCAGTGGTACACGTTCAACGAGCCCATCTCCTTCTGCGGCGAGTACCCCGTGCCGGACGGCTACTTCACCACAGCAACAACCATCCCCGCCCACCAACAAAAGTTCTGGTGCGGACACTACATGCTCCTGGCTGCCGGCAAGACCTACCACCTCGCACGGTCCCTCAACATCACCGCCCCGATCAGCGTCAAGAACAACGGCGGGTACAAACTGCCCCGAACGAACTCCAGCGCGGACGCCGAAGCCGTCGAACGAGCCTGGGCCTTTAACGAAGGATGGTTCGCCGACCCCCTATTCCTAGGCGACTACCCAGCCCGCCTCAAAAACTTCACATCCAGCTTCCTGCCCGAGTTCACCGCGGCCGAGAAGAGCCTCATCCGGGGCGCGAGCGACTTCTTCGCGCACGACGCCTACACCGCGGCCTACTATATGGCGCCCGACGCCGGGATAGAGGGATGCCTCGCCGACCCGAGTAACAGCCTCTACCCGCAGTGCTACAACTCGACCTACACCTTACCAGCAAGCGAGGGCGGGTGGCTGATCGGTCCGGCCTCCGACCCCAACACCCGGTGGCTGCACAAGGCCACGGAGTGGCTCCCCGCGTTCCTGCACTACATCCAGCGCACGTGGCAGCCGGCCAACGGCATCGTCATCACCGAGTTCGGCTGGACCGAGCCCTTCGAGGCCTACAAGTCCAAGCGCGAGGATATTCTGACCGACCCGGTCCGGTCCGCGTACTACCGTGACTACGTGGAGGCCATGCTGATCGCTGTGGCGGAGGGGGTCAATCTGGTAGGGTGTCTGGCGTGGTCCATTGCCGATAACCTCGAGTGGACGGCCGGGTTCACGGTCAAGTTCGGCTTGCAGGTGAGTACCCAACTTCTGTCCTCAGTTTCCGAGGGTGGGGTAAGCTAACTGGCGTGACAGTATGTCAACCTAACCACGCAGGAACGGTTCTACAAGGCCAGCTTTTTCGAGCTGGCGAACCTCTTCAAGACTTATATCAAGGAGTGAAGGGACGGGCTCTGAGATCGGACAAGGGATACCACACATTTCCCCGCGTTAGACTATAGGGACACTGAGCTCAAGAGTATGGAGATAGTGTCAACAAATAGCCAGATCAGTGGAATCTATTACTTCTAAAACACCTGAATCTCAACCCCTACATGTACAAGTCTAGTTGCCTTGCTATAAACCTACTCAGAACTATACGCCACCATCTAACCAAACAGAGAATATATCCAACAACATCCATACAACCACCCCTCCAACCCCGATATATACATGAAACCTTCCACCTGGTACCTACCTCAAGCATCACCTCTCACTGCCCATCAACTCCGCCCAATCCCCACCCCCACATCCACCCAATCTGTCCCTCGGCTCCGACCCGACCACCTCCTTCGGCCCCTCCCCACCTCCGTAATGCTGGTATCCATGTCCATGTCCACGCGCATGCCCAGACCCGTACTCATACTCATACCCAGGCCCATACTCATACCCACACCCATACCCAGCCCCACCAGCAGCAGACGCAAGAGTCGCCTTCGACGACGACCCCTCCTTCCCCCCCGCACCACCGCCCTGTACTTGCAAATCCCGCCTCCATTTCCCCACCACAACCCCCAGCGCCACCACCGCCCCAAGCAACGGGACCCCGACCCCGAGACCGACCCCGAGCGCCAACCGACTCGGCCCCGTTAACGCCCCGGTCTCGTTATCAGTTGAGCCTGTGGCCATGGCACCCGTTCCCGTACCAGACCCTGTAGCTGTAGCTGTAGCACTAGCAGGAGCAGTAGCAACCACCCCCGCACCACCAGTCTTCTGCACCAGCGCAGATCCCGTCGTCGAGCCCGCCTCGCGCGTCGACGAGGCCGTCGGCCTGGAGATATTGAAATAGCACGAGACGAACCCACCCGCCTCGTCGGGGTCAATCCACAGGAAGAAGACGTTGGAGTACTCGAGGTCGAAGCCGTAGAGCTGGACGGGCCAGGTGAAGTTTGTGACGGAGTCGGTGGGGTGGATTTTGGCTGCGTTCGCCCACAAGAGGGGGGTCCCGGGGTTAGTTATCTGGATGTGGGGAAGCTTAGGGGTGTGGGGGGGAGGCTGTGTGTAGGTAGGGTCGGGTAATGCAGACGAACGGGGAGATTTAGGAAAAGAGGGCAGCCCGGGGGGGGAGGGAGAGCATGGAAAAAGACCTCAGCTGAGGTGCAGTACTAAGCTACCTGAGATATAGGGCTTGCTGGGGTTCACGCGTTCTGGGTCTTGCTTTGCGCTCGCCCCTGATGCTGAAGCTGACCAGAGGAGAGGAGAGGGGGGGGGGGGGGGTTACCCACAATAGATATTTCCCTGACTGGCGGCGCTCTGCTGGACCAGACTCTGCTGCCAGATGGAGACATTGAACACCCCCAGGGTCGTTTTCCAGGAGATGACCTGGTCGTCTCCTAAGGTCCAGACGGGGTTGATGCCGTTGCCGGAGGAGGGGTTGATGAAGTAGTTGTTTGCGTCGGAGGTTGCGGCGCGCTGGATTAAAAGGTATAGCAGGAGGAGTACAAAGCGCAGGGCGGGCATCTTCTTCAGCCAAAAATGTATATGGTCTTAGGGAATGGATGATCAAGAGGATGGCAGCGATCTGGGTAGTGATCTACCGGATACAGCTACTATTATACCAGACCCTTGTACCCTTGAAAGGCTCATGGTATGGTGCCAACAGCCTTGCTGCGATGTCCCTAGGGGTGTTATTCTTAGGCTTAGCCGCCGGGGATCGGGTTCCTGGCAACGGCCATCCCGATCCGTGCAATGAGAGACATGCCCTAATCGCTGAGGCTGAAACTTTGGAATCGGCCCGCCAAGGGTAAGAGTCTATGCAATGGCCTGTTGGCATGGTTTGGCGCGGTCATTTCACGAACTTTGTTTATAGGTGGGATTTGGGAGGAAGTCCCGGGTTGACGATGCATTCCATATGATGCACAACAAAGATTAACTTGCACATTTGGGCGGCCCGACTGGGAACTTGACCATTCGAAGCAGCGGCTGATCTCAGAGGTTGGCTGTCTGCGACAATCTCTTGCAAAGTCCTAAACTCAAGTCTGTGTTGAATGATTACGAAGCTCGGGTTTTGTAGACCAATGTCTTCTAGCAGTGGCCCAATCAGACGAGGGAGTATTGCTAGCCTTGAATCACCAGCAGAGATTCGAAGTTTGCTTGAAAGCCGTGGAGAGAACTAGGTCCCACCCCTCCAACGCTTTCTGGTGTACTTCGAAGGAAAGACTGCATTGACAAGGCGTGGGTAGAATGAGAAATGCCTGAAATCGGAGGATCAGTCCCATTTTGCGACGCCCAGATTCAAGCTGTTCTGTATTGGCAGGCAAGCCGATTGACACCCCATGTATTACTTCCACATTATGTATTTATAGCGAGGTCGTGCCACGCTGAGCCACTATATCGAGATCTGCCGCCAGAACTGCTTAGCACGATTTGCTGTCTGTAGCTGTCTGACGAATGAATGCATCAATCAATCAGCCTGCACCTGTTGCCACGGCAGCACAAACTAGTCCGCAGAAACATCCACAATCTTCTGCATCCCATCCTCCACTAACATCGCAACCGACCCTCCAAGCACCGTGAAATTCCTCGGGTCAGCATCCAACGGCACTCCTACATCATCCCACGTCGCATGGACCGTCCTCTCGCCGCTCAGGAGCCGGTTGACGTTAAGCATGGTACTATACATCACCCCGAAACTATAAGCCCCGTGCACACTGTCATCCTGATCATGTATATCGGAGGTCTTGGAGAATGACCCAGCGGGCTGATACCCCCCCGTCAGCGACGGATACGCGCCGAAGCACCGCAGATACCCATGCCCGCACATCCGGCCCAACGACACATCGAATTGAGCCCCGATATCAATCTGCTCCGCCAGCTGCCCAGGGCTAACGGAGAGCGCCGCCAGGATCTTCTGGGCGCCGAAGTAGCTCACAGCATAGACCAGAGAGCAGACCGCATCGCCCACGCTGCAGACCAGGCGCGCATGGTCGGGTCGATCGATAGGAGGCGGATCGCGCCAGTAAGGTAGGAAGTGATGGGGCGGTAACACTGTGAAATCCTGATGCGACAGGAAAACCGGCAGCTCGGTCTTGCAACTCATACCGCAGTGGCCGAGCCAGAGGACATCCCAGTCGTCGCCATAGGGAGACCCGGTGGAGTTGCCATCCGAGCCCTGCAGAGCTCGGACGGCGAGCGCATAGCTCTGGAGCTGCGTTTTGAGGGTCACGTCCCAGTCGACATCGTCCTCCATGATGATAGCGCTTCCGAGTCTGCCTTGGACGATTCTGCGCGAGGGTCAGCAGGTATTGCAGGACAGCAAGCGGGATGTTGCATACTGCTGCATTGCATTGACATGCGCACGCCGGGCCGCATATTCCGTGGGCTTGTGGTCTGGATTCCAATGCTGGAGGAGCTCATCAGCCACCAACACAGAATCAAGTTTCACACATTTTCAGGCTTACATGAGGTATTGATTTGGGATTGACTTCGTCCGGGGTGACCCCATCAATCCATTCCACACGGAAGCCGCTGACCGATGAACCCAAGATAATATTGTCCCTCTTATCGGGTCTGGACGGGAGGTTCACAACAAAAATCTTCTGAGTCTGCGTCTTGTTAGTACAAAGTTATCCCTTTCAGCAGAATTTCTGTGCGCACTCCTAAAGTCTCGTTGCTGATGGGATGGAGGGGGATCGACTCATCCTCGGGCCGATTCCGCGCTGTCACTTGCGCATAGTGGATCGGCGAGAAGCTCAGAATGACGACGATCGCCCCAAGTAAAAGTAGAATGGTTCGAGGGAGTCGTTTCTGAAGGATGGACAGAACCATACTCGCTCAATCAAGTAGAAAAGACAGTAAGATCGAACATCAAACCAGTTGGAATGGATTTGTAGGCGCACTCAATCGCCCCTTGAGGCGCTCAATTCTCAATTGTTGATCTTAAATGCGGGGAGGGGATGGGGATGTCCCCAGCGGGGCAGCGGGCTTATCTGGCTTGGCTCGGGGTGGCTATTGCCTGGTAGAGCAGAAAGGTGAGGAGAAAGACAGAAAGAGAGGAAGAAAGGGGGGAGAAAGGGAGAAAAAGAAGAAGTCTGAGAGCCATCCCTGGTAAGATTTGCTCAGGGAGTTCCAAGTTACATTGGAGAGGACGGATCTAAGTTAGTGGGAGAATTAAATGAGCCTTGAATTAGCCGCTGGGCGGCGGGAATCTGGCCCAGTGGAAGGAGCGGATCTGCCGCCGGGACCCTCCGAACTTAGCCACTGCGTCCGCTATTCACTCTTCTACCGGGTAGTGTACAGTACATCGAGCGTGGATTACAAGTGTTTACCTCCAGCTCTCCCTGCTTTGTTGTCGGATCGTCATGCTAACAGGTGCACCGATGATGTGAATACGGGCAGGTAAATATACATAGTGGCTTAATTGAGGCTGGGTGGTGTCATGGGAAGATAAGCCAGTGCTTGACGGCGAGATACTCGGGCTGCTCAGTGGAGCAAGAAGCCGCACCAAGTTCGATCTCAAGCAGAAAAGGAAAGTTGCTGGATCTCCACGGCAGTCCAGTTCGATAGTTATCTAGAAAGCTTATGTGAGGGGTCACTCTCTACCTAGTAATTAACTACATTTATATCCCTGCCACGGCGGTCAGCACTAGCCCTGTTCCCGCACTGCCCCATCATCACCTCATCCCCTCAGGGCATTCATTTTCAACCCAGATTTCTCACTTCAACATCGAAAACACAATCGTCATCACCTTCTACGTTCTAGATTGAATACCAACAATGGGCCAACAAGCATCCGTCCCCCGCCCCGGCACGGACCTGCAGGTGATCGGGGCGGGGCTCTCCCGCACGGGAACCGCATCCTTCAGCGCAGCCCTAGAGATCCTCCTGGACGCCCCCGTCTACCACGGGGGCACGCAAACCACCATGGGGCCCCCCCTTGAGATCCAATCGTGGAACGCCATCCTGCGCACCTGGCTCGCGGGCGATAGGCCGCAAACCCTGCAGCGGCTGCGGGCCCGCACCGCCGGCTACGGCGCGATCACCGACGCCCCGGCCAGCCAATTGGTCCCCGAACTGCTCGAGCTCTATCCCCGTGCCAAAGTGATCGTGACCGTGCGCGATCGCGACAGCTGGGTGCAGAGCATGCAGCAGATCAGCTCCCTGGCCAAGCTGTGGTTTCTAGGGGCGGTTCTGCTCCCCTTGCCGGGGATGCGGTACTTCGTGACGTATATCGACCTGCTGCAGCGCCAGTGGGATCGGATCTACGGGAATAGCCGCGATAACGCCTGGATCTACGACCGGCATCTGGAGTGGCTGAAGGAGGTGGTGCCCGCGGATCAGTTGGTGTTGTTCAGTGTCAAGGAGGGGTGGGAGCCACTGTGTCGGGCGCTGGGCAAGGAGGTTCCCAAGGGTATTCCTTTCCCCAGAATTAATGATTCCAAAGCGATCGATCGCGTGGCGGCTTATCATATTAAGCGGGGGTTGGCGCGATGGGCTGTGGTCTTCGCTGTGATGGGGTTGGTGGGGGCGTGGTGGGTTTCTGGGAGGTGATGGGGTTGGAAGACTTGGAGTGACGATGGGAGCAGGACCGTTTCAATGGTGAAGCGATGACCAGAGCGAGAGGGGGCAGAGTGGCAAGGTATTGGGAATGTAAAGCATGTGTATCTTGTATGAAGCATTTTGTTGTGGTAATTGAGATAGTCCTAGTGCTTCATCTCGAAGGATTGCTGGTAGGATTGTCAACTTAGAACACGCACTTTTATACTCCTCCCACACTCCGGGCCGCTTAGTGAGCAAAAAGCGGCGTCAAGTTGGATGTAAAGCGGAAAGGGAAAGTCGTTCGAGTTCAGTAGCCTGCCCACACATACTACTCATTTGACACCAACTACCAATTCCAATGCAGAAGACACAGTCATCAATTTTATTATCTTAACACAGAACAGATTCAACCTAATCATGAATACACACTAAGCCTACCAAGAAATAAGAACACAGATCATGGTAAAATATATTGGTATATGGGGTATCCATGATGCACTCGGGCTGTAAACATCAAACAACCAAGGCAGAATGCCGGCAAATGTGATCGCAAGCAAAACCCTCTCCCTGTGGCGGGCTAAGAGATAGATAACATGGTATCACGCGATAAATAAACCTCTATCTCAGACCGGGTCTGACATTATGTGCACAACGCCAAATGTACTCCACACATGCCACCTCTCGGGCATGTCGACTTTCGAGCCAACGGAAAAAAGAAAATTCACATGGATGGATTCAGGATGCAAGGTACCGTCAGCCTCTAGCCAAAGGCCATCACATCAAATCCTGTGTGGACAGAGTGCTGTCAAAAGTGTTTCGTGGAACAGCGGAGCCGTGAGCTGAACCAGACCAGCGGTTCCCAAAATCATGCGAGAAGAGCTCAGCCGCCAGGGTTGGTCTTCAGTGGGCGGATCGCCCCTCCCCATGGGAGAGCCTATCCGGGGATGGTTGCACAGCGCCCCCGAAGCTTTGCCGCCGATCCGACTTGTGAAGCTCCGCCTCAAGCGAAGTGATGACCGGCGGTGCAGATTTCAACGGGGAGGGACCGGCGACCCGCGGGGAAAGCGACCGATCGTGGTCGCTGAGGTTCGAAGTGTTGATGCTCAGCCCATGCACATTGCTGCTGGCGCCGCTGGCACGGACGCGGAAGGAGCGGCGGCCGGGGTTCAGGTGGTCGGCCGGTGTGATGTTGACATTCTCATCGTCGTCCAGGTCGTCCGGCGAGTATCGCATGCCTGTCTCAGGGTGGCGGATCCGCTGATATTCGCCGCGCTCGCCCGTGGGATCCGAGTCGTCGGCCTCAGAGTCAAGGTTCGGACTGCGCGTCCAAGATCCCTTCCGAGCTTCCGCACGCATCTTCGCAATCTTCATGTAGTTATATGTACCAATGCTGGCGATGGTCACAAACAAGCCAGTGATGTTGATGAAGGTGAGCTGGTCGTGGAAAATCACCCCCGCTGCACTGATGGTGACCACTTCCTTGAAAATACCGCAGATGCTCAAGGTTACCACCGAGGAGCGCTTGAGGAGCGCGAATTCGGACGAAATCATACAGAAAGCGAGAAGGCCGGGGAAGATCAACAGGCCCACCCCGAACAGGCTACCGCGAGCCTCGGCCAACGCATGGAATCCCGCAGCGATCTCGGAGGGTCCCTCCACAGCCAGCGCAATAATAATAAGAGACACAAACATGACGGGGGTAAGGAAAAATAGAGTAGAGAAGGGATTGGCCGTCGCTGGGTGGCGGAGGAGGAGGATCTGGGTCAGACCCCATCGGAAACCCGAGAAGAACGCGGATGCAATGACCAGGACGAACCCGACTACATTGAAAGCGGTCTCGCCAGCGACCATCATGACAACACCTACAGTCATTGTGGCGATAATGATTATCAATCTAACTGAGGGAGTCTCGAGGCGGAAGAGGAAGGCAAACAGAAGAACAAAGGCGAGGGCGGACGATTTGCACATAGTAAGAAAAGTGAGGGAGATGAACTTCAAGGACATATTTCCAAGACCAATGTCGAGGGAGGTTGCTGCACCGCAGGGAACCAGACGAGTAAAGTAGAAGAATTTGGTGAGGATCGGCCCTTTCTCCGAGTTATCATGACCTCGGACGGGCGAACCGGACGGCGTGGAGGTGTGAGGGTGCTGCGGGCGCAACGATGGTATCAAGTAAAGCAGAAGGGAAGAGAGTGTGAACTGAACAGCCATATGCAGACTGGTGGTGAAGAGAGGGAACGGAAATACGACGTTATTGTCCGAAAACATCCATTTGTTGTACTGTAGAGAGGGCACGCGACCCAGTTAGCAGCTGTCCAGCACCCGCCCAGCTCCGTCCCTAGGATCAAAACTTACAATTGAAATCGACAGCGAGAAAAAGTACCACATGAGGATTAAGCCACCGTTGACTAGAAGCTTTTGGAGGATGTCCCGATCGCCCATTCCCAGTGGCAGCCAGTCCTGTTTCGAGGCCTTGACATCGGCTATGCGGGCATCCAACTGCCTGCGCTGCTGTCTTCTGCGCCGTCGCTGACGTCTCTGCCTCGCAGTCAGGCCGGTCTCCTCGTCATCGTGGATGTCTTCGTCCGAGCTCGTGTAATCCATTTCGCTGCTTTCCGCAATGGAGGACAGGTCCGACTCGTCTGCGTCCTCAGCCGGTGAGGACTTCTTCTCCTCTCTTTTCGAAGCGACTCCGTCCCCGGTCACCCTTGCAATGTCGTCCCTTGGGTCAAAAGTCGCCGAATGGGAACCTGCAGCCAACACTGAGCTCCGCCGTCGATGATGATTGCCGGCCGGGGAAACACCCATACTGGGACGGTGCTGATCGTCGGGGAGGTAGGTAGGAGGGAGGGAGGCGAAGTGATATATGGGTGAATCGCGGACTCAGAGGCGTTCGCTACAACGAGGATGGCCCCATCAGTGAGAATGTGAGTTGTGTCTCAGAGGCCCACCGCGCGCGCACACGATCGAGGGAAATTCGAGGGAAGAAAAGAATCGGGGGGGGGGGGGGGGGAGAGGGGTTCAAGGACGGGTGGGCGGCCAAAGGAGTGTGGGAAGAAGATCGGTGAAGGAGCAAAAATGACTGGTCTCGGAGATTGGAGAGGAAAAGGGAATTGATGAAATGACACAAAGGAAAGTAAAAAAAAGAAAAGGGACTAATCCAAGGAAAGAGGTAGAAAAAGGAACTGTCAAAGTAAGTAAATTGGGGGGAAGGGGAATAGTTCGTATGGATGGATGATGCAAGGGCGACCGCTGCAGGAGGGAAGAAGAAGAACAGCAAAAAAAAGAGAGGGAGAGAGAGAGATTGAGGAATGACAGCACAGGGAGGCAGTCTGAGGGTAATCAGGCGCTAGGGGAAAAGTAGATTAGTGAGGAATTATGCCAATAGTTCAAACAAACTGGGAGTAGGAGTAAGATGGAAGAGGGATTGATTTCAAACAAACCGAGTCGGATGAAATAATAGTAATAATAAAAATAACAATAAATGGAGGTACGTTACGGAGTACTTGAGGGGGGGGGGGGGAGAACAAGATTGTTATGGTTTGGAAGGAATTCAGGGTCGTGCTACTAAGTTACTACCTTGACTAGAAGTATGAGTACAACAGGTCTACTCTGATAAAGACAGGAGAGGCGATGCGATTGACTGATCGAAGGGGTTGATTGGGGACTGATTGAGGGAGTGACTTGATTGTCCTCCCTTCCCTTCCTTCCTTTCCTTCCATCCCCTGAGCTCAATAGTAAGTAGTAGACTAGGTAAGTAGGTAACTTAGCCACCAGAACGTCATTTCATCCCCAGACCATCCAGCAACCAACCCAACCCAAAAAGAATACGAGCACGACCAAAGTTAATAATCATGATGACAACAATCCACCACCCCTTCAACCACTAGGCTGGTTCCACAACACCTGACTTGTCTCAAATTACAGGCCACTTTCAGGGAATTGGACATCACACAACCGAAAGGAAGGAGAAGCGAAGCAAGAAGAAGAAACCGAAGAAGCTGAAGAAATAGAAGAAGACGAAGCAGAACAAGCAGAACAAACAGAAGGACTTCACCTCTCTGGATTGAAGACGGAGTGCCTGACCCTTAAACATCCGTGCCGAATAGGATCATGGATGACTCTGCCTTTGCCAACCGACAAACCGACTGACTGACTGGAGGATAACCTAAAGGACGGGCTGCTGCTCAGGGTTCAATCTCTTCGCTTCAAATGATTCACTTATTATTTCCTTTCCTTCTTCCCTTTTTCCCTACATTAGTGTCTGTGGATCACAAGAATTGTCTCCTCCCTCCCTCCACTTTTGCTGTGCCACTTGGCCCCCCCCCCCCCTGTCTGCCTTAGACTAGTTGCTGGGCATGAGCCATCAGGGCAAGTCGCAGGTCATTCGATTCTTTCCCAAGGCTGGAAGAGCGGGGAACAACCCGACAAGCCACTCACAACTACGGATACTGGGTACTGGACATCAGTGATTGCTCCGACGCTCCGAGATTAAATTTTGCATCTTTGGGCTTTACCCTTCCGGACGATCCGGGGGAAGGAGGGGAGCGACAGAAAAGCCCAGGGGCATTTATTTAGTTGACCCAAATGCTGGTCAATTGGTGGTGATGGTCGTGGTTGGTACCTTGAGATTTCAAGGTTCGTGAGGGGGGAATCAGTAGCTTGGGAAAGTCTCACGTAGAGGGTCTCTTCATGACTATAATCACTGTCGGACATCATGCATCAAGAGTAAGAGTCAGCTAATCATGACTTTATAATTAACCATCGTACTCTGTAGTGTATGCATCCATCAATCAGGCAGCAATCGCCTATCTGGCAGGCTATTCCACCCGGCATCCGTGCCTGGGGCGCAGTTTTACTGTTACTCCGAGAGATGCACATCCACATCTCACTCTCACACACACCGACTTGACTTGACTGACTGCTTGGCATCTGAACCCAGCAATTATTGAGAAACCGGCCAGCGTCGGCGGGACCAACTTTGACCACGCGCCTTTCATGGATGGTCATTGGGTGGTCGGACGATGGCTGACTGTATGGAAAATGAGGAGGGATTCGGACTGACCCGACAATCAGAATTGCTCTCTTCAGACTGTACCGTCGGAGAGGGAAAAGAGTTCAGGCACAGATTGACTGAGTCTTGAGAAACTATACCCACTGCATCTAAGTTATCTATCCACCCATGACTACCGGTACTACTGGATAGCTATGATGTGATACGAGAATCACTGATCTTCTGGAACCATACACCCACAGTGATCAGATATGATGAACAGATGAACGAATCCCATCCTCGGGCTGAGATCATAGTTCCCCCTCAGTCCCCTCAAACACAACAAATGAACCGAGGCTAGATCGTTCTTCTCGAATTTCTTATCTTTCTTTCTTGCTCTCTCTCTCTCTCTCTCTCTCTCTCTTTCTTTCACTACACTTGCAGTACAGCACTGTCACAGTACAACTCGAGTCTCGAGTCACTCTCTCGCCACACCCCATAGGGCTAAAGGCTAAAAGATGACCACATCGTCATAATGACAAGAAGACAAAGCGGGAAACTATGTCGACACTAACGAACCATAAACAGTAGCTTATTGCCCCCCCTTCCCCTCTCCCCTCTCCCTGGTCAATGATTAATGAGGAGAATCAACCAACGGGTACGGAGAGAATCCTCGTTTCTGCCCATCACCCAAACCACAGGTAAGCCAGTTACTGCAAAATGGAGTGAGTCACCTGCCATGCCCATCCATTATGCATATCCTCGAGTAAGTTTAGCATCCATCCAGTGAAACACTACAGAGTACCGTACTGTACAGAGATAGATAGCCTCGTCCATGTGGCCTAGCCCGCGTCGAGGGGGGCCATAGGGACATCAGAGTCAGTAGGTAGCTAGCTAGCTAGCTCGCTCGTCCTACCAATAAGTTACTCCTATTGACGACTTAAAAGGAAGTATCACTAGGTAATCGATCACCTTCTGCGCAGGGTCCGACAAGTGATAGTCAGTCAATCATCTCCGTCCCGCAAATCATCATCATCCCCCTTCCCCCTCCCTCTCCGCACGGCACCCCAAAACGCTCAGGCATCTCAACAACCCCTACCGACCTGACTACCTACATAGATACGTACTCATATCCTCTATCCTCTACCCTCAAACTCTCACTTTTCTATCCCCCAGTACTCTGTACGGTAGATGTACAGTACTCCGTAGGTCCACCAGCTATCGCATTGCATGAATAGTCCCATGCACAATCCACAACCCAAAAGCCAAAAGCCAAAAGCCCCACCCGTTGAAAAAAAAAAAAAAAGAAAGAAAGAAAGCCATCCTACAACAAAGTATTCGACACGTCCGATCCAACCCGTACATCAATACCTAGTCGAGCCAAGGCGATTAGGAACTTGGAATAACCCGACACACCCTACCGCATTTCCGGACACCCCAGGAACCCGGGGACCTAAAGTACTGGTAGTTCGGTTCAACGATTGATTCGCGAGGCACAGGCACAACAGTCCTACAAGAAGGCGTGATCGGAGGCTGGTGTTCGTGTTACTGATACTACATACTACGATGGGAGGGAGGGGGGTGGTGGTAGCGTGCTCTCCTGCAGATCATCGGAGCCGCTCACATGGTCAGTTGCGCTTGAAGGGTTCGTGACAGGGCGCACACATACACTGGACGATCCGGAGGATTGTAACCACGCGACGATGGGCGGAAGTCGCTTGTGCTGTACGTGGGACATACGGCGCTTGAGATACTGAGGGTGGATGAACGGAGAAAAGTACCCCGGGGTGGGAGAATATCTCATTGTCTACAACACATGCCACGCTCAGGTAAAAAGGGACAGATGTTAGGCTACTTATTATGCTACGGGACATCTAGAAAGACATAGCATTGTTGCCCTCCTATCAGAGTATCCGGTACTATATCTTCAGATACACATACATTAGCTGGGGGGCAGACCGTCATTCCCACTCGCCCTCCCCAAAGTGTATAGCCGGCAGATCTGCAAGACGTGAATGCAGTCAATCCTACCCACCACACGCCAATGCATCCAGAGAATTCTTTATACCCAGCTCACCAAGATGTTATCAGTCCGTCATCTCCAGCCCACGTGGTTTTTCTTGCGACTCTTCTAAAGCCCGAGACCCACACTTCCCATGTATAGTTCAACTTCAAGGGGTCGATCACTCTCTTCCCCAATGCTCTTCTCATCCCGCTGATCCATGCGGATGGGGCATCTAATCCACTTAAAACTCGCTTTGATGACAGTGCCATATAAAACAAAACTAGCCGTCGAAGAGGTAATCAACTCCGCGATAGAACGGGAACGGTTCAACCGCCCTTTCTCTGTCCAGCAGCGCCAGGCCCTGCAGTCGATGTGTTAGATGAATGCTGAGATCTCTGGCGGCCAAGACGGGGGAGGTGACCCATACCGATGGTGGCGCTGGCATTGCGCAATTCGATCTTCTTGCGTTCCATTTCGAGCTGTACGATTCATGTCAGACCACCACTGTTTGCGCAAGATCCACGAATGGCTAGATGACTCACCACCTTGCGTACTCGGGCAAGGGCAGCCGTGTCACCAGCCACCAGAGGCCGACAGTCGTCCACGCGGTATGGAGCCGCAATGGAAACTGCGTCCGCCACAATGATCTTGGCCCCATCCCATCTAGCCGGCATGGTCCGACTGAAGGCGTCGAAGATGTCCTGCGCCTCGCGAGTCACACCCTTGCCACGACGAGCCTCGCCTTCGTGCGCTTTAGCAATAGCATTGGCCTCCCGGTTTTTCAAGGAACGTATGTCAAGAGCGTGGAGGGGTGGTACTGCGTCGGCGAAGGACGGTCCGTCGGAGGCGGTGGCAGACGGGGCGAGGGAGAGGATCTGGACGGATTGTATACGCGAAATCGGGATGATGCGGTAGTCGCCGGTCTGGGACTGCTTTCCATCGGCGGTGTCAATGGCGACTAGATTCGTGATAGGGTCAGCAGTAAAGAGGGTACCCTCAATCGTCGACGCGACCGGGGCTGTGCTGATGCGGACACTAGGAGATGATGATGGTATCAGCATACGGACGAATAGCACTTAACCAGCAGCAGGCATCGGAAGCCGCTCATGGGCAACCAAATGCACATCAACACCAGGCTATACAAGCCCGAGAAGAACAGGGAGCTTTACCGTGCGCCAATGGCGCCGCTCAATGCCACTTCCAAAGGGACCATGGCGCCTGTCGCTCCCTGGCTTGTGGCTCCTGCGGTCGGTCCTTGCGCAGATGCTCTCGCTCCCACACTTGGACGTTTGTTGTCTGCCATAAGCCTGCCTCTGCTAAAGATGGAGGGTTCGAATGAGACTGTCCCACCAGCGACAGCACCAAGTCCAGCAAGGGTCCACTATCGGGTACTATGTCGACCGAGGCGAGATTGAGGTAGAACCTAATCGAGAGGAGAGGAACGGAGACACCTGTTAGAAGGACAAACTAGGTCAGCCCGGCAATCAAACTATTGTTAGGCAATGCTGGGAAATGCTGAAACCACGGTCGTTACTAACAATGACGGTGGAACTTGGGCGCGAAACAGGCTGAAGTGGGACGGTGCGGGAACCGCAGTTGAAACAAAGTCGGACAAAAGAACGACAAGACAAGGAAATGCTAAGACGGCAATGTCCATACAAGATGATACCCACCCTACTTCAACCGATTGGAGTGAGAGGAAGAGAGAGTTGAGCGCCTAGAACGCCGCACATGTAGGGGATTGAAATAAGATACTGAGGAAGGTTCCAGGAAGATGGAAGATGCAGAAAGAGGTCGGGGAGCGGCGACGTTTGGCCGACCCAATCGGGATTAGCTCAGGGCGGAGCGAGACTTCCGTTGCAGCACCAATGGATGTATGAGTCCTCACGCCATCATGACTACACTATTTACGAGTGTTTAGTAGAAGCCTACAATGTGCTTGCTTGCATGATTCAAAGCAAAAGCTACTTGTTTCACAGTCACACCACAACTGTAAAAGAAAAGAAAAGGGATCATTTCATTCCATACGTTTTTAAACGTAACAGCAAGCATCTAGATACATAGTACTATGAAGCAGAATTAGGTATACTTCCTGTTCCGCTTCTTGTTTTCATCATGTCATTCCTTCACCCAGGAAGCGCATAACGCGGACTCCCTGAGCTCAGCCCAACTGTCCCCTGCTAGACCCGTGCGAGGCTTCACGTCCAGCGTATTACATCGCGTGTTTGATTTAAACAATGTAGGTCGACGCAGAGACGTTGCCACCACGGCCGGTCCAGTTGACGTGGATGTCCTTACCCTCGGGGTAGGTCTCGCTGGCGTGCTCGGGCTTGATGCGGAAAGTGTGGGCACCGAAGTAATCACGCTGAGCCTGCAGCAGGTTGGCGGGGAGGTCCCGGGTGCGGTAGCCGTCGAAGAAGCTGAGGGCAGTGCTGAAAGCAGGAGTGGGGATACCCCAGAGAGCACCCTTGCTAACAACGTTTCTCCAGCCCTGCTGGGCGTTGTGGATGGCCTTGTTGAAGAAATCGTCGAAGAGCAGGTTCTCAAGGTCGGGGTTGTTGCGGTAAGCGTTGGTGATGTCCTTAAGGAAGACGGAACGGATGATGCAGCCACCACGCCACATGAGGGCAATGGAGGGCTTGTTCAACTTCCAGCCGTACTCACGAGCAGCCTATTTAGGTTCATGTCAGAAGCTGCATATCGGACTGGATGCGGGAAGGGTCTTACCTCCTGGATGAGCATGAAGCCCTGGGCGTAGGAGATGATCTTGGAGGCATACAGGGCCTGCTCGAGGTCCTTGATGAAAGCCTGCTTGTCACCATCGAACTCGGGGGTAGGGCCCTGGAGGAGGCCGCTGGCACGGATACGCTCGTCCTTGATAGCAGACAAGCAACGAGAGAAGACGGCCTCACCGATCAGGGTGACGGGCATGCCAAGGTCAAGAGCGTTGACGGCAGTCCATTTGCCGGTACCCTTCTGACCAGCCTTGTCGAGGATCTTCTCGACGAGGGGAGTTCCATCCTCATCGTTGTAGTAGAGAATGTCACGGGTGATCTCAATCAGGAAGGAGTCCAAGACGCCCTTGTTCCACTCGGCGAAAACATCGGCAATCTCCTTGCCCTTAAGACCAAGACCGCGCTTGAGGATATCGTAAGCCTAGCGATAGATAGCATGATTAGCATCTGTACGTGACATTCCGATCCTTGATTCCTGCAGGCTGAATGACTTACCTCGCAAATGAGCTGCATGTCACCGTACTCAATACCGTTGTGGACCATCTTGACAAAGTGGCCAGCGCCCTCGTCACCGACCCAGTCGCAGCAGGCCTCACCGTCGCTCTTGGCGGCGATGCTCTGGAAGACATCCTTGATGTAGGGCCAAGCCTCCTCGTTACCACCGGGCATCAGGGAGGGACCGTAACGGGCACCCTCCTCACCACCGGAGACACCGCTGCCGACGAAGCGGATGCCCTTCTCGGCCAGGTACTTGGTGCGGCGGTTGCTGTCGGGGAAGTGGGAGTTACCACCATCGATGATGATATCACCCTCCTCAAGGTGGGGCAGAAGAGACTCAATGAACTGGTCAACGGGCTTTCCGGCCATAACCAGGAGCATGATACGACGGGGACGCTTGAGCTTGGCGCAGAACTCCTCGACGGAGTGGGCACCAACGATAGGCTTGCCTGTTTGTACAGCATGATGAGTTGATTTTGCTTGGAATATGATGCCGATATGAAACTTACCCTTAGCCTCGTTCTCCAAGAAGCGGTCGACCTTGGAGGTGGTACGGTTGTAGGCGCAGACGGTGAAGCCGTGGTCAGCAGCGTTAAGGATCAGGTTCTGACCCATAACGGCCAGACCGATGAGACCGAAATCAGCACTAGGCAAAGAACGCGCCGGAGCGCCGACATTGATGCCGGCGAGGCGGGCGCTGAAGTCAGTCGCCAGGTTCTATGTCAATAGGTGGGTAGATAGAAAAGAAAATGACGAACGAGGGGATTGATCCCGATGTTTGAGAACGTCGGGATCAATGCGACCCTCTGGACCTGCGGCCTCCTCATCGTGATAATTCACAGACGAAGGGCAATTCGAGTTCATGACAATGACCCGAAAGTCATCTCGAGGCTAATGTGCGCTCCAAGATGGTAGCCGCATGGTGAAAGAGGATCGACCAATGCATGCATGCAGGAATGCAATGCATGGATGATGGTGATGATGACGATGATGATGATGATGATGAAGCATCAAAGAGAGGGGAGTGGTAGAGTTACTTACACAGCTTGGTCGGCCATGATGAAATTGTGGGGGGTGGGAGGGGAGGAGGAAATTAGGTATGGTTTTTTTTTTGGAGAAGAGAAGCAAAAGAGATGAGGTAGTTAGAAGAGAGTGGGAGCGACGGAGGATATATGAGGAGAGAAGGAAGAGGGACCAAGAAGGGGAAGATGGGAACGGGGCAAGCGAGGGACCGTAAGAAGGAAAGCATTGGAAGATGTCAGAGCAGGATTCACGCAATGTGGACGGGGCTTACGGAGCAGCTCTTCCGTCATGGGTGGGACGGGAGGTTGAGTTGGGTTGAGCGGGGCAATAATCGATCATGGATACTAGTAGACTAGAAGGGGAGGAAGCAAAGAGGGGAGGAGAGAACACCACTAAGGTAGGCAGAGGGAGCAGAGTCCTCCGGTGAGACCGGCCAGCTTCTTTTGGTAACTACCGGTAACTACCTACTAGGTATATGAATTGATCATGATAAAAGAGTAACAGAAATTAGACTACATTGCAATTGCTTCATTATTGAATTCGGACTCTATTCAAATGGCTCTACGTATCCAATCATTTAATCAGTGTGGGATGGCAGTATTCATAGATACCATAGTTTCCATGGTGGTAGCTGTTGTGATAATGATGATGCTCTCTCTCTCCCTGCTCTGATGGCGGGGCAATGGAGGGGCACAGCAACCGGCAGCGGCACTGCAGAAAATCCGCTAGAATCCGGCCTACATCGGCCCTGAAAAAGGAATTTGTCCCAGAGTAGCGCTTTCGGTGAAGCTCGTTCGGGAACGGATAAATTGGGACCGCCTTCCAAGTCCTTTCCCACTCTTTCTGCCCCCCACCCTCATCGGTTCACCCATATGCTCAAGGAAGAAGTATGTGTGTGTACTCATCCATGATCCATACGAGACCCGACAACCACTTAACCACTTAACCACTTAATCTCCCTTCATCATCTTCATTCTCCCAGGAGGTGAGAGCGGGATAATTGGTCATCGTCATCAATGGTAGTTAACTAACCTACTCCGTAGCTTGCCGCCAAATAGACCGGATTATCAGAGCGGATAACCCATCCCTCCCTCTAGGCGTAAAGCCGATCAGAACAATTCCCGCCGGAGAAATCTACTCCATTTCCGGGGACTCTGATCATCCCGCATCTGCTAATTAGTCGAAAGCTCAACGAAGCCGATGGGGGTTCTTTTCTCCGTGCTAGTCAATTCAGTATGGTCTGCACTTGGAGTCTTACTCAAAGATAGTAACTTTAACTTAAGTATGAGTAGTACCTTAGTAGTCTGTGGTCGGCAACTGCATTTCCCAGTCAGGTTTAGGGTGGGGGTCAAGTTGCATCACATGGGTTCAATCACTTGAATCAATAATAATCGGTTGGGGGTTCAGGACCACCACCACCACGCAGTGTGTGGCTAGCCTGCGCTGAGTAAGAAGATCGGGGCCAGCCAAATCATTGACTCGCCCGCGGGGGTTCCTGAACTTCGATATCATGCAGCTCGCAGGACGGAGTATGCATGTAGTAGCATTCACCTCACTACCAGGCAATAAGCAGGTTGTTACTTAAAGGCACTAAGGCGGTAGCAGGTTGTCCCTCGTATAGCTCATCCTCGTATAGACCGGACTGACTTGGTTTCCAAAGAGGAAACTCCCCGCTGATACGTTACGTCGCTACGTATTCGAGTCATTCGTTGTCAAGCCTACATACCAGTGTTGAAGAGCGCTTTCTCTCTCGATGGAGGAGGCTAGGCTAGCTTGGACCAGAACAATCAGATTCAAGGATTCAGCAACGATGCGTTCGCTATCTGCATGCATCGGTAGCAGGTCACGTGTAGCCGCAGCCTCTGCGGCAGCAGGGTGCAATGGTCTGTTTGCACTTTACGGCAGGCTTTTGCATGCGCCAGCGCACTTTTTCTCTTGCCGGCTGTGTCTGTTACTTCAGGCATCTAGAACCATCTGCCAGCCCATCCACTCACACTACCCTCACTGACAACCAGATTTCCATACCATTCTCCTCTTCCTGATCACTGTCTCGCGATCCCAATCAAAACTGCAACTCCCAAGCAAGCGCTATTAGCGTCTATCATCAACTATATACCCAATCTTCCAGGCTGTGTGGTCTGGCTTGAGATACGGCATACGGCCCTTCGCCTTCCAGTCACACATCTTCCGCACCAGGATTCGGGACCTTTTTCAGGCGTGACGTCTGACGTATTGACTGCGACGTCAGTCAGGCCCTGAAGGTACGTGTCTGTTGCTAGTTGCTGAACAGCGCATCACACTATCCACCGTTTCTCCCTTGTACCGAACTCTCCGTTCATCATGTCCTTTCCGCCACCTCCAGGTCTTAGGCAAGCACCTTCGTCGCTCCCTGCGCGTCCACCACCACCAGCGAGCACTGCTTCGCCTGCCACCTACCAACAACCCGCATATCCGGCTGCGCCCTCGTATGCGCCGCCCGGTGCAAGCAGCGGGTATGGTAGTCACGGGCCGTCGCGACCGGGCTACGGCGCCGCCACTGCCTTCGCACCGCGCTCAGTAGCCTCAACTCAACCCTACCGTACCAGCAGTCCTGTGGTGTCCGCTCCACCTACCTCAACCAGCGGCTATGCAACACCAACCACGACCGGCTACGGTAATTACTACCCACCACCACCACAACAACAACCACAAGCATCGTACCAGAGCGCCCCGACCTACTACGGCGCCCCGGCCCAGTACAATGACGGCACCTCGTATGGCCCGTCTGTGCCACGGATTCAGAACCCCTTCCAGCCCGCCGCCGGAAGGGGCTACGGTGGCCGCAATGACTCCGGCATGGATCCGGAGACGGAAGCGCAGATTGCGCAATGGCAGAGCGCCTACGCGAATAAAGAGGAACTCCCGGCCCCCGGCAAGGTCCCTGGACGCCGAGATGCCAACCAGGGAATCGGGGCTGGGCCTGCATCCGGCGCGAACACGCCATCCGGCGCCGCCACCGGTGCCAACACGCCGGCGCCGATCGTGGGGGTGCCCGAGCCCGCGCCAAAGACAGTTGTCCGCTCCGGTGGTGGACAGAACTGGACCGACTCGACACTTTTGGAGTGGGATCCGGCGCACTTCCGCCTGTTCGTGGGAAACTTGGCGGGCGAGGTTACGGACGATTCCCTGCTGAAGGCGTTCGCCAAGTACACGTCGGTGCAGAAGGCGCGGGTGATCCGCGACAAGCGCACGCAGAAGAGCAAGGGCTACGGGTTTGTCAGCTTCAGCGACGGCGACGACTATTTCAAGGCGGCGCGAGAAATGCAAGGCAAGTACATCGGCTCGCATCCGGTTCTGCTCCGGCGGGCCACCACCGAGGTCCGGCCCGTGTCCAACAATAAGAATGGGAAGAAGCACGGGGGTGGAGGCGGCTCGGGTGGGGGCAGTGCTGGTGGGGGCAAGGTCAAGCATGATGGGGTCAAGAAGCATGGAAAGACCAAGGGCGGACTGAAGATTCTCGGATGATCGATGGGCTTGAGTGTACTTTGTACGCAGGCTCTCGATCAAGTAGGCAATCCGATGACGACTCATGCTACGACTGGGGTACATGATAGAAACCCGAAGCATCCTGTAATTTTCGGGTAGTTCAATTTGTACGCAATATACCCTTATCCTCATCCTCCATACGTCAACACACATGCTCAAAACATACTCGGTAATATATAAACAATCCCCCAAACCAGAACACCAAGGGTCGAAACCAGTCCACCCTTCCTAAGCTCTCGAAAGAAACCCAAGCAAAATCCATGGAAAAACCAATAACAATCCCTCTCACTCACTTAATAGACAGACACTTCCCACCTCAAGCCCCTCAAGCCATCCAGCTCATCCCTCCCCCGTCGTAGAGTCAACCATAATCCCATCATCCCATCATCCATTGCATCATATCATAAGTCATAACCACATTCAAACAACATAAACAACCAAGCCCCCAATCCAGCAGGTGCATAAATATACCACAGAAGATTCATGAACGACTCGACTCAACTCGACTCCAAAAACACCTTTTCCAGCGAGCGCGCGATAACATCAACCGAGAGAAAACCCCACCAACCGAAGTTGGTGAGAGGGGGGGGGGGGGGGAAAGAATCACCCACCCCCGCCTTCCTCCCCGCTCTCCTCATCGATGGGCCGTTTCGGGTGCGTAACGCGGTTCCTCATCGTGTGGATGCCGTAGCCCGCGATGGCGAGGATGATGAACAGGACGATGATGATCACCGCGATGGCGATGTTTTCTTGCATTGTTGCCCGTTGTTGGTGGAGTTGTGGTTGGGTTTGGTGGGGGTTGTGTTGGATGGTGAGCTCTGGGGAGCTGAGGTTCCAAGTTGTTGTGGATGGGGGTGGTTAATTGGGGTTGCGGTTGCAATGTCTCATGGGATCGGTGGACGTAGATCCGATGTGTGTGTAGGTAGGTGTTTCTCGATCTGTGCGCACGATCTGTGGGGGGACGGATCTAGATTTGGGTTCCTCAGGAATGTATGTATGTGGATGGGGTGTCAAATTATCCGGGAGATATATTGATGGTATGTATGTATGGGTTTGGGATTCCAAGGGAGGAGAGGAAGATGGAGAAAGTAGAATGGGGGAGGGCTGGCATGCCTGTGGGACAACTTATAAGTTAAGGTTGTCCACACACAGCAGCCAGCCAGCCAGCCTTGAGTGACCATTGAGTGATCATGGATGGAGTCAATCAGTGCCTGGGCAAGTAAGTGTTCCCCAGCCATGCTGTTTTTACTGCCTGGCCTTGTTTATTGCGGGTGGCTGGGGAAATGCGGTGATGCGGTGATACTAAGTTGCTGCGTTGCCGGCGCTAAGGCTCGAGTTGGTCAAGCCTTGAGGTCGGTGGTTGATGCTATTTCGGGCAATCAGCTTTGGCAGCCTGGAGTGGAAAGTTAGCTCCAAGTTGATTGTTTATTCTGGATAGGCTATAAATCTTCGTCCGGTTGTTGATCGGGGATGTTGGGCTATAATGTACGGAGTACTGTACATCTAGGTACTGTATACAATACCCAGGTTGTCTGCAGTGGAAACACACACAATGAGGTATGAGCCCGCACAGTTTGTAGGGCTGTTGTCCACTCGGACAAACTGATAACTACTTCCATAGTACCTCATTTGAGGTCGAACAACGCATTCAAATCTAGTCCTCCGAATGAGATTGACATCCTTCATCATCATCGCTCTCCTCATCCGTCTTCGTCTTCACTGTCTTCCCCTTCTTCTTCCCCGCCCCATTCATCATCTCCATCAGCGTCTTCTGTCCCTTCTTCGCGCCCGATCCCTTGGCTGCCTTCTTCTCGTCCGCCTCCAGCTTCCGCATATACTGCTCCATGTGCTTCTCCCGCATCTCCTTTCCCTCGTCCGCCAATCTCGCTTCCAGAGCTCGGAACTCCTCTCCCTCCGGATCCATGCCGATCAGAGACTCGAGAAGCGCAATCTCCTTCGCCCAGACACTGGGATCGGCCACCAGCTTCCCCGCAGCACCGGCTGGTTTCTTCGGGGCCTTCTTCTTGCCCTTCGCCTGCCCAGCCTCCCCATCCTCCCCGCCCTCATCCTTCGTTGCGGTTTTGGCTTCTGGCCGGTCGATCGGCGTCTCCAGGATCATGGGCACCCCCTCAAATCGCTTCTCATTCATAACATTGTGAAATGCACGTAGGCCCAGGAATCCCGTCCCAATGTTCGCGTGCAGATCCCGTTTACTACCGCGGGGCGCTTTCGAGTCGTTAAGGTGGAGGGCCCGGAGATGTTGGATGCCGATCAAGTCCTCGAATTCCTGCATGAAGGCCGCGAAGCCGGTGGGGCTGACAAGGTCGTAGCCCGCCGCGAAACTGTGACAAGTGTCGACGCAGATGCCAATTCGCGGGTGCAAGTCAGCAGGGATCTGGGCGAGCAGATCCTTGAACTCGGAAAGGGAGCCACCGATCGTGCTGCCGTGGCCACACATGGTTTCGAGGACCGGGATCACGGTCGTGGTGGCGCGGAGGGCGGAGGTGAGAGCGGAGGCTAGTCGGGTGATAGCACTGGCGTGTGGGGTAGAGTTGGCAGAGCCGGGACTGTTCGCACATCATCAGTATTCGTGCTGTAGAGGTCATGTGTGCAGGGGGTACGCAGAGCTGGCTGGCTTACTGGAAGTTGTATAGTTGGATGCCCAGAGCTTCGCACCGACGGAGATCGTCGAGGAAGGAGTCGTAGGCTTGCTTGGCTTTGGCTTTGTCTTCTTGGGCCAGGTTCACAAGATAAGAGCCGTGCGGAAGGATGTGTCTGGGTTTGAGGTAAGTTGGGGGCAGATGACAAATTGGCGTAGGGGAGCTCACTTTGCTGCATCATACTTGTGCTCTTTACACATGGCACGAAATTGATCTCGATGGTCATCCTGAAGGGGTGGATTGTCCCATTTCCTTTGCGACTTGAGGAAGAGAGCAAATGCGTTTCCTCTGACGTTTCGTTAGTCGATGGCCACCAGAAGGAGACTCTATGGGACTCACCCTATGTGCATGCTGTTGTTCACCGAGTTGAAAACGCCTGTACCGATTATTAGTACCAGGATTACAATTCATAAGATAAACTGGAAGCCAAGTCGACGCACCTTTGGCTGCGCTGACATGCGCGCCAACAAGCATGCGCAATCCCTGGGTCCGAGCTCTCAAGGGCACCATCTCGGCTTCTTTGGTTTTCTGCTGCCTGGAGACCTTGACCGTTTTCGATACCTTCTCCTCAGCCTCTTCCTCCTTCACTGAATTGACGTTATCTTCTGTTGGTGCCTTCACAGTGACCGTTGTTTCAATCTCTTCCTCCACTTCCTTCTTAACTGCGACGGCGGCGGCGGAGGCGGCTGCCTTGCCTTGACGAGCTTTGTTGTTTCTCGAAGTCCCTGGACTCGCAGTCTTGACCTCACTGCCAATTTCCAAGTTTAACGGAATCGTAGACAGTGAAACAGCAGAAGCTCCAGCTGATTTAACGCGCTTCGACCGACGAAGTGGGGAGGTTGGTTCGCGATCTTCGCCGATAAGCTTGCGTTTTTGGTCTTCCGGAGAGCGCGGTGGCGAGACGGCGACAGCGCTGGATGCTGCTTTGCGAGTACCGCGAAGAGGCATCGTACCTTTGTCTGTCAACAGCGAGTGGGACTCAACAATTATTGGATGATATTCGAAAATCAAGTAGTCCGATGATTAGACGGTGGGTCGGCCAAAACGGTCAAAAATTGGCGGTTTGGCGATCTGGAGACGCGGAGCGGAGCGGACTTTGCAGGGTCGAGGCCTTGCGTTACTCCCTTGGAGGCAGCCTGTGGTTCTGTCAACGGAATACCACCATGATGTCAAGGGAAAAGTCTTGACCACCTCCACATAGCTACAGATGATTGATACTTCTACATCATCTCAGAACCTTGCAAGGCAGTTACCTACCGATACGTACACAGTAGATGGAGGGCAACCAGCTGGTGGCAGCTTCAATTTTACCTTTCTAGGACTAGCGTACATGTGACCGGTTGTCAGGGCAACCAAATACAGACTAGCGGCTGTTTATCGATAAACTCGATTTGCGTCAACTTCTTCCTGCTTTTGGCTCCCTTGCAGCCTGAACCGTGTCGACCATCGCCCTCCATCGCCCTCCATCCACCAGCAAATCGCCGACAACAACTATAATCACGACCCAGATACCGCGGAAACAACCCTTTCAGTACACATTCGAAGTGGGCGATCCTTATCTCGCTCTCCATCGCCGCCATGGCGGCCTCAAACGACTTGATCGACTTCGATATCATCGAAAACCAGAAGGAGAACATTCAATCGCTACCAGGGGGACGATCTGCTCGAGAGCTAGCCCGAATCTTCAGTCCCCGAGAAACGACGGACAAGCTCGCCGTCCCATCGCCAAATGAGACCAAAAGCGTCAACGATGCTATCAGACAAGAATATGAGGCGGAGCTGCAAGCCATTGACGAATCTGATGACCCCCTCGATGTTTACGACCGATATGTGAAATGGACACTCAACGCCTACCCCTCCGCCCAGGCCACACCGGAATCCGGGCTTCTTCCTCTCCTCGAACGCGCCGTGAAACACTTTCTCTCCTCCGCACACTACAAAAACGACCCCCGCTACCTGCGGCTATGGCTGCAATACATCAGACTTTTCTCCGACTCGCCACGGGAGACATTTGCTTTCTTGGCCCGTCATCGTATTGGTGAGAGCCTCGCGTTGTTCTACGAGGAGTTTGCGGCCTGGCTGGAGGGTGCGGGGAGATGGACACAGGCAGACGAGGTGTATCACCTCGGTATCGAGCGCGAGGCTCGGCCAGCAGAACGCCTGGCTCGCAAATACCGCGAGTTCCAGTATCGTTACGAACAACGGACGCAGGACAGTGGTCCCTCGTCCCCGGCCTTGCCCGCCGTCCGCCCAGCCTTGGCGGCCAAGGTTAACCCTTTCGCGTCGGCTGCCCCCGCCTCGCCCGATGCCCAGGCCGAGCGCCCGGCCCCCGCCCGCAGCGCCGCCCCGAAGACGAAATCCGGCAAGCCGAAGATGGCGATCTTCTCCGACGCCGACGCAGCAAGCCAGCCGGCGGTCAGCGGACCGGCGCAAGGCTGGGACAGCATCGGATCACTGCAGGACCGACGCAAGGAAAATAAGGTGGAAGCGAAGCCCTGGGCGGGAGAAACCTTGAAGGCCGGAAAGAAGCCCGTGCCGAAGGAGAAGATGACGATCTTCCGGGATGAGGTATGTGCATTTCCCGATTCTCTCTGACTTCCAGATATTTACGATCGCAGGACTAATTGGTGGCATGAACCCGGGTTGGTTTACGATTAATGTATTCAGTCAAAATCCAAAATTCAAGTCAAACAAGATATTCCAGATGTCGTGCCAGAGCACCGCGTAAGGGAAGCGATCAATCCACGTACCGGACGCCGGGAACGCGTTTTCGTCAACCTCGATGCTGTATACCCGGACTATAAGAATCCGAACCATGAAGTTAGCTTTGAGGAACTCAGAGCGATGAGGCGGGGGTGGTTGAAGAAGGACTGGCGGGTGCCCAAGGTGCCTCTCAGAGAGATTCCCGGCAATTCGAATGCCGAAATGCCCTCCGAGAATCCCCTCGAACATGGCATAGAGAACGTACTACCGGATCAATTCAGGCAGAAACTGACCGTGAAGGACAGAGACACTCATGCGCAGGAGCACGCTGAGGCAAATGCTGTCCAGGAAAACAAGACCAAGGCACGAAAAATGAAAATGCGCGAGGTCAAGCAAGAAACTCAGACAAGTAAGCGTGTTTCCTCGAGCCTGCTGATGATTTGACGCTCAGAGACCCTAACAACCCATAGTCAAAATGAAGTTTGATTCTCCTACTGGAGGCAGCAAAGTTCGTCGGAAAAGCACTGCTGAGCCCACCATGACAATGCACACACGGGCTGCAACAGACGAGATTTATAGTATATTCAACCAACCACTGAAGGCGGAGACAGATCAAGCGGCCGAGAGTGATTTCGATGATGATGACTACACAAGCGCCGGGGAGAGCACTGTGACGGGGCATATCTCCGCTGCATCTAGCGATTTCGGCGACGATGAGACGACGACCTTCCACAAGTCATTTGACGATGATGGGTTCGAGGATAACACACGGGCGGAAAGTGTTATCGATGGTGAATGGACGCAGT